CCGGCATGCATCGACAGCGTCCGAAAGGACAGTCCTAGCCATAACAGAGACCCTACGCAGTGTAAATATCATGATTCCATCTCTGTAGATTGGCCATGTCCAGCATGTCAGAGGGATCTTACGAGAAGCAAGGGTGTTAAGAACCACCTCGATACCGAACCTGGTAAATGTCGTTTTGCTGAACCATTTAAACTACCAGACGACCACGACCCCGAAGGCAAAACCGTGCCAGCTTGGTGGAAACCCTTACCTAAACCTGGTGAGGGCCAAGCTTCAGCTTCAGGTGGCCGTCAAGGCGCACACGCCAGGCCACCGCGACCACGATCCTTCGGTAACGTCGATCCGACATCTGGTGCCAGCAGCTACGACATGCTACGAGACGCCCCCGAGCGTGGAAACACGCCTTCTGCGTCTTCTAGCGAAGCGCCACAGGTAGCGGCCCGCCGCGGCCGTCTACAAGGCGCACCACCACCTCCAGACGCAGTCAACACAGGGGACCAACTACGGAGAGCTACAAGGAACCCTCTTGCCTCCACCGGCTCTGGGGCTCCACGACTACCCGACTGGACGAGATTCGACATCCAACACAGTCTACAGAGTCTCCGTAGTCACGAACCCCATGTTGTGAAAAAGGAACTCCGAAAACTGCATCTGCGATGGTATCATGCGAAGGAGCCAAAGATGAGGCTACTCCTCGAAAAGGTGGGGCTTGATAGTGTTCGACTGAACATGATCAAGGAAGTTTGCGACACCTGTCGGGAATGCAGAGCATGGGAACGTCCAGGAAACTCAACACTACCATCGGTGAGCCTTCCTGGTAACTGGCTCGATGAAGGGGAAATGGACCTCATGTTTTACAAGAAACGGACCATATTTCATATTATGGATCGTTGTATTCGCCTGGCAGCAGGCCTAGAAATTTCCGACAGAGAACGTGACGCTATCATCGACGCCTACCACTACTGCTGGATTGCCTATCACGGACCCTTCAAAGTTTTATACTCAGACGGAGAAGGCGCCCTGAATAACGATGCCGCTAAAACCATGATGGCCAATAAGGGCACGGAACTTCGTATCCGAGCACCTGGCCAACACGCGACTTCAATTGAGTCTCGAAACGGCATTCTCAGAGGCGTCCTCCACATGATTGAGGAAGAATTGAATAGACACAACATCCCTGTTGTGTTCACTAGAGTATTGGCGGAAGGCATCTTCGTTACTAATGCGCTTACGTTTTACAACGGAGTATCGCCATATCAGGCACACACAGGACGTCAGCCCTCTTTCCTCCCTGATCTCGATACCCTTGACTTTCCCTAGGGACCCGAGACTTCAGGACACGAACGAGAACGTCGTGTAAGGGAAGTCAGCCTAGAAGCTATAACTCAGGCTACTGCTGTGGCCAAGACAAATCGGGCTCTTAGGGCTAAGACGACTCCTGATGGTGCTCGCCTCTACTCATCAGGGGATTTGGTCGATTACCACCGACCTACTGCCACCGAGGACGACCATGGAGGCTGGAATGGCCCATTCCCGGTGATCCGAAATGTGCCTGAAAGAGGACATATTGTTGTCAAGGCAGGATCTCGTGAGGTAATTGTGATGTATCCTGATGCTCGTCACACACTATACATCGAATGTCTCCTCACACGGGAACTTGGCATGGATAATATGGCCATGCAAACCGTCCTTGCTTATGTGGCACACCTCAGCGCAGGGAAACCTGCCAAAGTTTTCGGTTATATCCCCGATTACAAGGGAAACCTTAATCTGTCAGACGACAGCAAGTTTCACCCGCGCGTACACTTAGCACTACAGTATCTCGTACGAAATTACTTCCGAGTAGAACATGTAGTAGCAGTTCGATTGGCTAAGAGTGTGTCAAGCCTACCTGCAGTAAAGTACGCCACCGGGTCTACGCTGATCCACTATGACAACGACATCAGCCCGGCGTTCCACTATTACGAATGTGTGGGCACCGGCTTAAACATTTCTCAGATCACTGGTAGCACTCACTCCAGACTTATTCAATGCTTGACTTCACGTGTCCCTTCCTTAGGATTTCACGACGATTTGGTTAAATATCAGCATTCAAGCAACACGTCTGGAGAACACGAGTCGCCTGGAAACAGGCCTTCTCCAGACACACCAGATGCTTCATCGCCGAGTGAAGGCCGTCTGTCGACAATCTATGAGGAAAATGAGGAACACAATATCGAAGCTATGATGCTGGAAGAGTGGTACGACGAGCTACGTATGGACCTTCATCCTACGACGATTACCGATGATTATCTCTATTGCGTCCCAACAACTATGTTGCCCGACCAATGTGTTTTGGTTTCAGCATTTGTGGACGAGGATGATATTATATCATCAGATATGCTCGGAGACGAGCCGAAATCACGTGAGTCCTGTCTAGTCTCTCTTTGTTCAACCACAACCGACGAGAGCTACTCTCTTGACAGTGATGAATATGGTTCTTACGTTGAATTATGCTTTACATCAGAAATGTCAAAAATAGTGTTGGATCAGACTCAACTTGCACAGCTCGTCACCGATATGGTCGCAACGATGAGAGTATATGTATCCTCTGCTGCTAAACGTGATGTGGTTGTCAAAGAAGATGATCTACTGACCAAAGCCGACATAGCAGCACATCCAAAGGAGGTTAGTGAAGCTTTGTATACTGAGCTCAAAATCTGGATTGATAGCCGATGCTTTGAGATGTATGATTTATCCAAAGCTTCCAACATCATGACATCCAGGTATGTATACAAGTGGAAGTTCGTAAAGATGGGTACCGAGAGCGTTAAAACCATTCGTCTCAGACTGGTCCTTCGTGGATTTATGGATACTGAGGCTTTTGATGTGGAAACATTCTCGGGAACCGCCCGAAGGCAGTCCCAACGACTCCTGGCAAGTGAAGCGGCATGCCATCCAGAGTGGATCTTAGCATCCATGGATATCGATAAGGCGTTCCTCAAGGGTTTGACCTATGAGGAACTTGCCCATGCCACCGGCGAGGAAACTCGCATGGTTTGCTTTACTCTTCCACCAGGAAGTGCTCAGGTACTTCGTACAGCACCCGGCTTCTCATCCTACGACTAAAGTCGACACTGTCTTAGATGCCTCAAACCAGGAACGGGTGCAAAGGACGCTCCAAGAGCGTTCTCTCTCAAACTTCGTGCGACCACACGAGCTATAGGACTTTCACCGACCAGCTACGATCCTGAATTTGAATTCAGCCAAGACCTTCTGACGGCAAAACATGTCGATGATATTAACATGACAGGTCTAGAGAAAAATATAGACGACTATGTACAGCGCGTCGAAAAGGTGTTTGGCAAATGCAAGCTCAACAAGCACACATATACGAACTGCGCCGTTCGCTACAATAAGAATGATCAAGGAGATGTGATCATGGACCAGGACGAGTATATCAAACAACTACGTCCTATCACACACCCTGAACTTACAGGAGCGGCGGCCGATGCCAAAGCCACGAAACTCATTACCGACATGTTCGTCAGCCTGCGAGGAGCCCTCGCCTATGCCCTTCTTACCCAAATCTGGCTCATGGTATACGTGGTCTCTCTTCAGAAAATTCAAGAGCCCACCAATCTGCAAGTCAGACGTTTGAATGCTGTGACGCGAAAGCTGATCAGCAGCCCGAAACGCATCACCTTCCCTCGGATGAAGCCGACGAATGAAGTTGACATCCATAGCGATTCGGGGTATCGGAAGCTTACCGGGGAGGAGGATGACGAGACCAAGGGCTACGGCATACGCGGGGCCAATGTACTACGGCGAGGAAACTCGCCTCAAGGCAAGTCCGTCGTTCACCTCTGTGACGGACTATGCAAATCACACCGTTTACAGGTGAGGTCCAGTTATGCTGCGGAGGCACTTGCAGCCGCACATAACCTTGATGAGTGTTACCCTACGAGACATGCGTGAAGTTGGAGGCCTAGCTATCAAAGTCTCTCTTACCATAGACGCCGAGTCCGTCTACAAATCTTTATCAAGCAGGGATCTCAAGATACCTACAGAACGGACTCTGCTTGGACATATCAGCTGGATACGTGAGCTCATGGATATAGGTATAGTACATAATGTGCAATGGTGTGATACTAGGGATATGACCGCAGATGGGCATACAAAGGGAAGCATCGATCGGGAGCTGCTTCTGGAAGTGATGTCAGGCACTCAGTCATTTAAGTATGACGTGAAGCAATTTGTTCCCTTTCGGGGTCCCGAGGTCCAATTTGCCAGCACGGGCGCCTACTATAAAGGCGCCCCTCTAGTTGCTCGGAAACGAGCCTTATATTTCACGCCTGGCAACGAGCCGGCTTCGTACAACTCAGGCTCTTTGCCTTAATACACATTTGCTTGGTGAGGTATGGCCTGTTTGGCTTACCTCTAACTGAGCCGATAGCCCTTCACTGTTTGAAGGGGCTGTCTTGTATTTGCGTGAAATACTTTGCGAGGGAACTCGCCTTGCAGTCTGGTGTTAGGCCAGACTGTACGCACTGTTTCTTTTTTGCAAACAGTCGTGCGCGCGACCTTTGTGTGCGACTATGCTCTCCGTCTCCTCCCCTCCCGACTTTAAGGGTAGGTTTTTGGGAGATGTTATCGTATCGGGAGCATAGCTCGCGCGCGCCGTTGCCTTTGGCCCAAGGCACGCGCGCCCTATTTGCCCGGACACCGCGAGTGTTCGCTATGTGCTGGAAAGACCGATACATCGATCTTATCCTATCTTATCCGCCCATTCCTCATACTGAACTATCACAGCAGAGCGATGGACGCTATTTGCCATCCGATGTCTATCATGGAATCGGATGCCATTTGAGTTACCAGGCTCACTTTCGACTGACCAGACCAGCAGAACTTGCAACGCAGGGGAGTTTGCACATTTTGGCAGAGCTTTCGACCTGGCCAGGATCTCGTCGGCCACTCTTTGGCCCCCTGTGCCCCTGGGCGTGATGCGGCCACCGCGGCAGACGACGCCAAGGGGCTCGCAGCTGCCCGGAGGTTTGCGGCGACGCTGCAAAAGGACTACGGATGGAAGTTTATGGTCATCCGTTGCACGAACAGATATGCAGACACCCCCACGTGGATTTGTCATGGGCCGCAGGGGAGGGTGGCGGTGTAGAAATCACCATTGGGGACCAGCGATTTTGTACTTTGCCACCCTCCCTGAAAACACCGGGAACACTCGTCGGCGGGCGTCTGTGCATATATATATATATATATATAGAGATGTATATATATACACACATATGTATGTATGTATGTACATGTATATATGTATATGTATATATATATATATATATATATATATATATATAATCGTGGCGCAGGTCATGCTCGCGAGTACCTACGTAGGCCTCAAGGGGCTGGTGAACGGCGTGGTCGTGTCGGGCCAGCTGCCGTACTACAGGAGCAGAGGCGTAGCCGCCGCCGTGTACCAGGACATGCAGACCATCTCTCGACTGCCCTGGGGCGCCAAAGGGCTGTTCGGCGTGGTCTCCGACTCCTGGCCGGTGCTGGGCTACCAAAAGCGCTACTATCTGAAGGGCCTCGCCCTTTGCCGCAAGGCCCCCCTCTCAGATTACGTGCATGGCCACGCCTGGTCGGGTCTGTGGCCTCGGGGGGGCAATTTTGCATACATTTGCGAGGATTGTCGCTTCGGCGACGCAAGCTCGCCGTAATCTCAAAGGGTTGCAGCCTCGGCAGCGGAAGCGGGCATTATCTAATCGCTTCGCTCATTCCGCCGGCCCGAAGTGTGCCATCGTTGGTGTTTGCGTGCGCTTTCGTGGGCCATGCGGCGCTGCTGGTCGGCCCTGCTGCGGTTGTGGGCGAGAGTCATCGGGTGTCTTCGGAGGGTTCTCGGGGGGCTCCTGTGTAGCAGCTTTAGGAGCTGTCGGGGGCCTCCTGCAGGAGCCTTGGATGCCTCTTGGGGCTCTCTTGGCGCCTCTTGGGGGCCTCTTGGACCTTCTTGGGGGGGCTCTTGGGGGCCGCGCGGGACAGCCTGGACGCCACTTTGGGCCAAGGGCTCGAAATGCTCGTTCGGCTCCCTCCTTCTGGGCCCTCTCTTGGGGCCGTCCTGGCACTCTCTGTCCGTCTTGGAGGCCTCTGGGGCCGTCTTGGGGCCCTCTTGGCTTCTCTTGGATGCCTCTTAGGCCGCCTTGGAGCGATTTTAGGGGCTTTTTGGGCCGTCTTAGAGCGTCGGCGGCCGAAAAGGTGAGAACGCTTAAAGCATTCAAAAGCCATGGGAACATCATTTAATGTTGCATCTACGGGGCTTCGTGGTTCTGGAGGCATCTTCGGGTGTCTTGGAGGCGGTTGAAGCCGTCTGGAGGTGATCTTGAGCATCTTACTCTGGGCCCTCTTAGACCGCCGTGGGGGCCTCTTAAGACGCTCTTGGTGGCCCTGAAAGCTGCCCCCAGGAGTTCTGGCATCCGTGACTGGGACCGCCCGGGATTTGCATGGGGTACTTTTCGTCCATGGACTCCCAGGGGCAGCCACGTGCGCGCGAATGAGAAGTATTCTAAAGCTGCTACCGAAGATTTCAGCACACTTTTGGCTGGTTGGGCCGGCGAGTGTACGAGTGATTGTGGCCTGGGGAGTGCGCACCTGTCGTTTTTCAATATAGGGTTGTGGCCTCGGGGGGACGAGCCTGCTATAATTTACATGTGGTTTGGGGAGCGCGAGCCCGGCGTAATTGTTCAAGAGGTTGTGGCCTCGGGAGCGCGAACCTGGTGTGACTCACTCGGGAGTGTAGCTTGGGGAGCGCGAGCGTGCCGTAATTTACCAGGGGTTGTGACCTCGGTGGCTCGAGTCGTTGTCATTTACGGAGATTATGGTCGCGGGAGCGCAAACCTGGCTCAAGTACACCGTTCGCTGCGCCTGGTCCGCCCCTGGCGTCAGCCTGCTCCTGGTTCGCCCCAGGCGAGCAGTGCTTTCTTCTTTCAGTGCGCTTGGTCCACCACAGGCTGCACCCCCCTTCCTGGCCCGCCCCGGGGGTGCAGCCTCTTTCGATGTCAGGAGTCACTGTCGGCACGGACCAGAAGGACTTCGTGGGCGACGAAGCCCAGAGCAAGCGCGGCGTCCGGACCCTGAAGCACCCCATCGAGCATGGCATCGTGAGCAATTGGGACGACATGGGGATGATCCGGTACCATACCTTCTACAGCGAGCTCCGCGTGGCTCTGGAGGAGCACACTCTGCTCCTCACTGAGGCGCCCCTGGGCCCGAAGGCGAATCGCGAGTGCACGGCGCAGATCATGTTTGTGACGTTCAACGTGCCTGCGATGTACGTCGCGATCCAGGCAGCGCTCTCGCTGTGCGCTTCAGGCCACGCGTGTCGCACACCGTACCCATCTATGAGGGCTACGCGCTGCAGCTTGCGATCCTGCGCCTCGATCTGGCGGTGCGGGACTTTGCCGAGCACTTGATGAATTTTCACCACCGCTGGGCAAGATCGTGCGCGACGACAAGAAAAACGGTTGCTACATTTCGATCGAAGTCGTCTCCGAGATGAAGGTCGCCATTGAGAGCTCCGGGAGCATCATTGATAACCGTGGGCAGCGAGCGTTTCCGCTTCCCAGAGGTGCTCTTCCAGCCTCAGGTTCGTATGCAGGGAAGACAGCACTACCCACGACACCACGTTCCAGTTGATCATGAAGTGCGATGCCGATATCCGTAAGGGTCTGTACGCCAGCGTGGTGTTGTCTGGTGGCACCACACTGTTCCCAGGCATCGGCGAGCGCATAACCAAGGCGCCGACGGCACAGGCTCCTTCCACAATGAAGATCAAGGTCGTGGTACCGCCCGAGCGCAAGTACACAGTGAGGATTGGTCGCCCTATCCCTCGAAAAGCACCTTCCAGCAGAAATGGATCTCCAAACGGGAACACGACGAGCCTGGCATCACCATTGTGCACAGGAGGTGTTTCTGAGGGTTTGCCTTCGGCAGATTGTGGGAGGCAGGCACGCTCGAATCGTCCGACGTGTTGGACGGAGGTTGCGAGCTTGCCTCACGCCCCAACGTTCACAGCCGGCGCTGGCAGTGATCATTCGCAGTAGCCACGACGGTATTTTGAAATGCTTCAAGACAGCTGTTTCTTTCTCTGGCAGATATAGCTATTTTACTAGATGCGCATGTGCAGGCCGTTCTGTTGGCTCGCAGGCCCTCCTTGTTACAGTCTGCCAGGGGAGGCCACCACCCGGACGGCTCCTGAATTTCCTGAATGGCACGTCGCTGGCGGCTTCTGCAGTACAGTTCGCAGATGTCTTAGACCTGTTCTCCTCCCTCCCCTCCTCCCCCCCTCCTCCCTCCCAGTTGGCATGCTCTGTTTGCGTGGCTGCCTCCCCTCCCCTCCCCCCCCCCCTGGCCCCCCTCCTCCCCCTCTTCCCTTCCCCTTCCCTCCCTCGTTCCACCCCAAGAACAATTAAGCGGCCAAGTGGCCCCACTGAACGCCGCTGGTAGCCATGGTGTTGGCGGGGAACCTTTGCCACATTCTTGCGTGCTGGCCCGCTTCGCGCGCTCGCTCGCCCCGGCACTCGCCCAGGGCACGTCAGTCAGCACCGCTGTGGCATTAGCTGTTTTGTTTCGCCTGTGCTCGTAACGACACCAGCTGTCGTTAGCCTTGGAATGTGTGTGTGTGTGTGTCCAGGGCGGTTCTGGCTCTGACGCAACATGTTTTAGCACACCGTTTCGATCACAACATCTCGAGAGGTACCTCTCCATCGAGAGGTTTGTCTTCGGGAACGCGGTATCCGGATTTCTCTTAGGGCCTTGCGGCTTCGGTCGATCGTCTTGCTACGGATCTTCGATGCTGCGGACTCGTTCCTTCGAGTGCGTGTGTGTGCGTGTGTGTTGTCTCCTCTCGTTCCTCCTTGTCCTCCTCGTCCCGTTCCCCTCCCGTTTCCCGTCTGCCCTTGCACTCTCATATCGTCATTCATTTTCCCCCTGGGCTCGAGTTTACCGCATGAGTTTGCCTATGGCAAGTCGGCTCGTATAGCGATCCTAGTTTGCCTGGCGATATTCTGCCTCACGTTACTGTGCAAATCACGCCGTAGTGAGATTCAGAGGTCGCGCGTTCCCCATGTCCGCTCCACCCTGAGAACATGTACATGGCACTGTGGTTTGGGGTGCGCGAGTCTGGCGTAAGTTACAAGGGATTGTTGCCTTTGGGGCGCGAGTCTGTCCCTAACTTACTCCCGATTCTTGTGTCAGGAGCGCGAGTCTGATATAAATTACCAAGGAGTGCGGCCTCGGGAGGGCGAGAGTGACGTGATTGACTGGCGAGTATGGCCTCGAGGACACGAATATGGTGTATTTTTAGGTGCCCCTGGGCCACGGGGAATTCAGATAACGTTATTCTGGCGTGGCTAGTGGATCATTGCCCGGCTCCCCCCTCGCGCGGACTCTAATCGCTACACCCGTGGAATGTGAATTTCTACGACCTATAGATATTAGTTAGCGCGGCTTACGCCATTCTGCCGACAGCCAAAATGAGTGAGTGTTTGAGACGACCGTTGAAGTTAAATTTTTGGTCAGGAGCCTCCTGGATGAATCTGAAGGTCTCTTGGGATGCCTCCCTGGGGCCTCTTGGGATATCTAGGGGGCATGTGGGAGGCTTTTCGGGGCTTCGTGGGGGGCCTCTGGCGGTCGCCTTAGAGGCATTGTGGGGCCTCTTGCAGGGCCCTCGGGGGCCTCTGGGGGGCCACCTCGGTGGGAAAAGGCTCGAAGTGTCAGTTCGTATTCCCCCTCTTGGGTTTTCTTGGAGCCCTCTTGGGGCCCTCCAGGGGCTGTCTTGGGCCGTCTTGGGTGGCCCCTGGGGCTGGCTTTGGGCCCTCTTGGGCCGTCTTGGGGCCTTCTTGAAGGCATCATGGGCCGTCTTGGGACGATCAATGCGATGATTTTGACCTATGGGGGCCCTCTCGGCGATTCTCTGGAGGCGCTTTGGGCTGTCTTCGGGGCTTCGCGGGCCATCTGGAAGCCACCTTGGATCGTCGTGGAGCTAACCTGGGCCGTCATGACGCTCGCTTCGACTGTCTTGGCGCTCTGTCTGGGCCCTGTTGGGCTTTTTGGAGGCTCCTTTGGGGGGCTCCCGAGAGCCCCCAGGATGGTTGGCGAGCTCGTCCCCCTCCCCCTTTCCCCCCATCCCCCAAGTCTAGTCGGATTGTGGACCCTGGGGGAGGGGGAAAGGGGGAGGGGTAAAGGGGGAGGGGTTCAGCCAAATGTTGCACACGCGTGTTGACCCCTGGCAAGCTGGGGTCGGCGGACTTGTGAACTTGAACTGCCGCTGGGAACTGGACTGTCTAGCCCTCGCAGCCTGATGGGGCCAGCGGATATCGTCATTTCTGGGGTGATGGCCACATGCTCTCTCAGTTTGCTGGCCTTTGCCAGGGAAGTCCCAGTCCAGGTCGCCGCTGCGTGCTTGTTTTTGGTGCAGCTTTACGTGGCCGTGGCGGACCTGCTCTGCGAGGGCAAGTACGCGGAGATCATGTCTTCCCAGGGCGGCAGCTCCACAGTGGTCACGTACGTCTGGGGTTGCGTCATGCTGGGCAGTCTGCTCAGCTCCTGCATGGTCGGGCCCATGGCCGACTTCCTCACCAAGGCGAAGACTGATGGGCCGACTTTCCATCACGACTACAATAGGTAGGGGAGGGAGAAGGAGGAGGAGGAGGAGAAGGAGGAGGAGGAGGAGGAGGAGGAGAAATAGGAGGATGAGGACCTCCCCATCCTCCCTTCTCCCCCGTCCAACCTATGGTAGTGGTGGTGGACAATTGGCCCATCAAAGGCTCGGGGGTCCGCAGAGGGGGGGTTATTCCAAGGTGGGGCTAGAGAGCGAACCTGGCTGGATGCTCGCAGTTCCTTCTTCCAGGGGCCGTTTAGGGCGACTTTCCCCTAACCCCACCTTTGCCTCTACCCTATCTTTTGTCCGAAAGGCGAAGGCCGTCCCGCTCCTGTTCGCCATCGGGATCCCCTGCTCCGTGCTCGCGCTGTGGCCGGCACTGCGGGGCTACCTGCCAGAGGAGCGTCAGACCAGCTGCGCGTGCAAGACCGGCCAGATCTTCGAACACAGGAATCATTGAGGATCATGCAACCCCTAACCCAGCACAGGTGCGTATAATGTTGGTGGATCTACGAACAGTCTACGCATTTTTCGTGCACTCGACGTGAAAATCACGTTTGGGGTAAATCAACCCCGGAGACGACCTCCTACCCGAATGAAGGCGAGGTCCTTGAGCATGAAACAACCCCTAACCCTGATAACGTAATGAGTTCGTGGCCTAACTTTAGTCCTCGGTTTTCAGGACTATTCCCAAACATGTGGGTGACATCCGCAAAAAGGACCCCGTATCCCAGATGTCCTTGGCCCTCCTAATGAATATGCCCTCTCAAATGATTAGGGGTACTTTTGTTGCTGATCAAGGAAGATCCTGGCGCTGGCGCTCGGTCAGTCCGCCTGCGCATTGGGCATGTTGCCGTTGCTGCTGCTGCGCATGCATATGGCTGTGAAATTCTCGTACAGCGTCTGCTGCGTGGCGGTGCTCATGTATGCTTCGTACCAGGCGCTGCCGCGGGTGGTTGCGAATTGCAACATGTACATGTTCTGTGGGAGCTGCCTGACGGTTGGGGTCCTGATCCTGGACTTGTGGTACACTGCCTCTCCGCTTTGTGTGCCTGGCGGTCCCATGTTCAGCCAGACTTATTACCTCACATTCTGCGTCATAGCTGGTAGCCTGGCGGGTCTCGCAGGAGTCTGGACGTTCGAGACGTACATGACGAAGTGGAACGCCCGCAAGGCTTTCTGGGTCACCACTCTCGTGAAAGTCGTCGCCTCCTTGGTTGACCAGGTTCTCATCAACCGCTGGAACTTAGTTGTCGGACTGCCTGACGAGTACGCCTTTTTTCTCGGCAACGCAGTCATTCGGGAGATGGTAGTCATGCTAGATTTCATGCCAGTGATGGTCTTGATCGGGAAGCTTTGCCCGAAGAACATCGAATCCACTGTGTTTGCAGTGCTGGCTGGTTTTTCCAATTTCGGCTCCAACATCGGGAGCGTTTTGGGCACTATTTTAATCGAAGTCCTGGGCGTCAGGATCCAGGACGCGAGCGTGCGTGACCACACGTGCTTCTTGCCAGAGGCTGGGTGGGTCAACGCCACTGCCAATTCGTGCACCTACGACTTGGGCGACGACGGTCAGGAGCTCAGGGCCGACTGCGAGTACAGCCACCTCGGCGTGGCCGTCTTCATCGCGCAGGTCATTTGCCCGCTGTTGTCTATACCTGGCGGCTCGCAATAAGCAGGAGGGATAACTGGCAGAAGGACAACGACACAATCATATCCATGAGCAAAGTGGAGAAGATGGGAACCAGAAGGGAAGAAGACAATCCGTAACATAGAGCAGATATGGGAAACCCTGGGTTTCGTGACGATTCAGTTGTGTCCCTTTGGGGAGCAGGTCCAGGGGCCCGGGGCCCTCTGAGGAAGGGAGTCCCGAAGCAGGGATGGGCCTTGTCCTGGAAACTTCGAGCAGGTTTCCTAGAAGGCAGTCATTGTCCTCCTCCTCCTCCTCCTCCTCCTTCTCTTTCCTCCTCCTCCTCCTCCTCCTCATCCTCCTCCTCCCTCTCACTGTCCCCCCTCCCACTCCCGTCCCCCACCACTCTCCCACCCGGGCCACATGGAGCTGGCGAGAGGTGCCTCCATAAGAGGCATGGTGCCACTCTGCAGCCCTCGACAAACTTTACATTTTGACAGTGCGTGACGCGCCTGATGTTCTGGACTTGGCTGGCATTGCGCGCTGAGTAATCGTCGGCGCCCCCATCTCCAGGTTCGGTCATTGTGGAACTTCCGAGTCGCATGAAGGGGCGAAAAGCGACATTGAAGGGGTGCGCTGAACATGTTTGAGGATCAGTTTGCCGAGGGTGGCAGGAGTGCCCCCCTGCCACCCCCGCCCCTCGAGTGTTGCGGGCCGCTCCCAGCCGAAGGGACGAGAGCGCGCAGAGACGCCCAAGCACCTCGCAACAGAGGCACCGAAACACCCCCTTCAGGGCCTCACCCGAGATCCGATCAATGTCGATCCCCGGACCTCTCCCGAAACGAGTGAGCGCTTGACTCTGACCCGCGTCCCAACCAAAGACAACAACCACTCCCAAGGCCGCATGCGATCCGAGTCGATGCGATTCGGTTCGCCAGCTGGGGCCGGGAGAGCGTTTCGATTCGACTCGGCTCGATTTGCCAGCACTGGCTGGGGCCAGCCAGAGCTTGGCGCCGCGATCCGATTTCGATTCGAGTCTGGACGGTTTGCTGGCGATCCCACCCGTTCCCAGAACGATCCGGCTTAGCGGTTCGGTCCGGCTCAGGCTCTGCCCCTCCTCCTCCTCCTGCTCCTCCTCCTCATCTTCCTCCTCCTCCTCCTCATCTTTCTCCTCCTCCTCCTCCTCCTCCTCCTCCTCCTCCTCCTCCTCCTCCTCCTCGGGGGGGGGTCGCGGCGCGAGAGCGGCAGGGCGACCGCGCCCTGCGTGGCGCACGGGCGCCTGGGGCGGACCGCGCCCTGCGTGCGAAAGACCATCCCGGCAGATTTTTTCAAGTTGCGCCCGCCCGTGGCCGCCTGGGGCCCCCAGAGGGGGCCCCGGGAGGGCCAAACGGTGCAGGGTCTTCGGCCCTCGAGCTTCCTTCCGCTTTCCTGCGCGCCGCCAGCGTACCGCTGACCTTCGTGCTCATCCCCAACGTCAGGCTGCCGGGGGCGGACGGAGGGGTCCGGGGCAACGCCAGGGGGGGAACAGGCTCAGCGGGGGACGCATCGACCCCCAATCGCCCATTTAGCCCCGACAGGGGCCCGACAGCCCTCTCCGCCGATTCCAGGCCGATGGTTCCCCCCCCCGGAGCCAGTCCCTGCCTGTAACGTTCCGCCTCAGAGGGGGGGTGGGGCGGGGGGGGAAGGGGGGCTACGACGTCTGCTGCATGCCGCTGGCTTCGGCCCCTTATCAGGGCGCCTTCCCAAATGCGTGGCCGCCTCGAACGCCAGGAGGCGCCAGGACAACTATAGATGCATGCAATTGATTCGCTACCCCCCCCCCAGGCCCCCGACGACATGAGTTTTGTCACAGCGTTGAACCTCAGAGATATCAACCCATTTCCTGGGAACGGTTTTTCATCCTGAGTCGTTGTTTGACGGTCTTGAGGCCTTGTAAGAGCTCCCAGAAGCTGAAATTTCACACAAATTGTCCGTCGTTTCTTTTCATGACTCGAGGGGTTCTGGGCCCTTTGCTATCCCGCCTTGCTTGATTGACCGCGAAAAGGCTGGACGGCGACTTCCTGGCCGGGGAGAACCACAGCTCCGGCGAGATGGAGATGCCGGTCATCCCGGCGCCTGGAGCAGTGCGGGCGCCGCCTCACCCCCGCGGCGGCGAGGAGGAGGAGGACTCGAGCAGAAGCAAGTCGGTGCGATCGAAGCGGGGACGGAAGGAATGGGCCAAGGCATGCATGATACTGAAAACGCTGGGGCCGTTTTTTCCATTTTCGAAGGTCGACATGTCTTGTTTCGCCGTGGGCCAGTTTGTTTCGTTTTGGGATTGTCGTTCGCGCTTTCGATTCGATTCCGTGTTGTATTGCCATTGTTTGTCTGTTTGTATTGCCGTTTCTTTTCCATTTCGTTTGGCCGAAACAGATACACAGCTGTTTCCTCAAACAACATCAAGCAAGTGTTTTACATCAGCTACGTAAGGCCAGATTTTAGCAGTACTCGCGGTCGGTGTCCCCGCGGATGCTGCCCGACTCGGACAGACGTCGCGGGCCCAGCAGCGGCGGGCGTCCGTTCGGATGACATTTTGCAGTTGGGCACCGTCCTCACTCTTGTCCGTCCTCATTCGGGGCGCTTTCATCTACATCAGGGCAGTCTGGACGTCCACGCGGATGTATTAGGTCGGCGCTGGACCCTTCTCCCCACTACAGCTCCTAACGGCGCCTCCTGCGCCATCCGGCGCCGCCCCCGGTTCGCAACGCGCGCCGGGCGGGGAGGGGTTTCAGCGCCGTCGCAAGAGGCTCGCGCGGGCCTCTAAATGGTTATGCTCATGCATCGGTTCTCCCACCTCACACGAGGTTACGGTTCAGAAATGCCCTTTGGAGCCAGTGACGCAGCAACTCTTTGGGCGATGATTGTGAAGGCCTTACGGCCCCTGCTGCCGACCCTGAAGACGACGACGACGGCGAAGACGAGGAGGAGGATGAGGAGGAGGACGACGACGAGGACGACGTGGAGGAGTAGTATGAGGAGGACGCGGAGGAGGACGATGAGGAAAGGGTGGAAGTGGTTGAGGGGGGGTCGAGCAGCGAGGGGAAGAGGCGGAGGAGGAGCATCAGAATGAGGCCAGCAACGTAAGGATCGTAAGGGAAATAAATGGTATGTTGATGTTGCCTCTTGGGGCCCTGTTAGGAGTTCTCCTCGAGGCCTCTAGGGCGTCTTGCAGGCCTCCTGTGCCGTCTTGAGGCCGTTAAGGCGTCTTGGACAGATCGTTCGGCGATTCAGAGCCCTCTTGGACTGTCTTGAGAGCTTATTGGGGCACTCGTGGCCCGTCTTGGAGTCGTTTTGGATCCCGGGACCGCCCGGACCGAGTCCTATTTGGGTCGGGAACCCCCCGCCACCGGGCCCTCACCCCGACGGGGGAGGGATCAAAAGGAAAGGGGCTCATTCTCGATTCAACTACGACGTCGCTTAGTTTCGCTTCGGCTGCTACGCTTGAGGAGGAGGACCCAGGGGAAGGGTGGGGGCAGCGACGGGCCCAGGGCAAGGGGGACGCAGGGAGAGGGGACGACGGAGACGACGACGAACGAATGACGGAGACGACGACTCGAACGGACAAACCCTTTATATACGCCGACAGGGTCTCGGAGGAGGAAAAGGTACTGATACTGCTAGCCTCGCCTCGTTATCCCCTTTTCGGGCCTCCTGGGAGGCCCTCGTCGCCACCGCTGGAGTCGCCTCGAGATCCTGGTCAGAACGTACCCTGGGAGAGGTCCATGGGGCAGCGGTATCTGTACCTTTTGGTTTCCCCAGGGTCGGCAGATGAATACGTTGAGTTCTGGGCTTGCTCGAGGGCGTTGTCGTCGTCATCGAGATGATTCGAGTGTCCTCTTCAAAATCGCAACCAGATGCAGACAACCATTTTTAGCCGCTCCCTCCCTCATCCCCCAACACTCACATGCCCTTGAGTTATACCATAGCCCCCAGTTGGCGAGGTTCTGGAGAATCCCGCCGCAGGCGCTACGTAATTTTTAGCATTTTGAACAGATTGCCCGCCGCAGTCGCCAAATTCTTGTCAAAGAAACGCGGGTGGGTCGCGTACGGATCGCAGGTGGGTCGTTAGTGGGTCGTGTGTGGGTCGCGAGCGATTCGCGGATGGGTCGCGAGTGGGTCGCGGGCGAGGCCGACGACAACAAGCAACACACAGCAAGAAATTTCGCCGCCCAAGCCTACTTCAGGCAGGCACCCATGGATGATGCAAGGCTGCTCGGGCCTCTCACTGCGATCTCAAACAGCACATAACAGCCCAGCGCGGTCGCAGAATCGGTCCCCGATGATTTGTTGATTCTCTCCCAGGAGTGTTCTTTATTTTCGGCGGCGCTCGGGGGTGAAGTGAGACGGGGCGGACCTTCTCAGAAGGCGGCGGGGCTTCTCAGAAGCCCTCCGGCCTTCTGAGAAGCCGTCCGCAATTTCTCAAAAGGCCAGAGGCCTTCTGAGCCTTCTGAGAAGGCCCGCCCCCTCTGACTTCCCCCCTGCGCTCGCCGCCGGTATTTGTCGCCTTCCTGCAGCAAGGACGCCAGCGCCGCACTGGGCGGCGCGGAGACCCCCATCGCCCGAAGGCGGTCTAGCGACCAGCTCCTGGCGGGTGCGGCCAGCCAGCGCCGGCGGAGCTCGCCGCTCATGTGAGCAGCGCACTCGCGAGCCGCGTGCGCGCGGAGTTCCGCCGCGCGCGCCCGTGGGGCACAGCGGCAGGCCCAGGTCTCCGACGGTCTGAGCTGCCGTGAGGCGCCCGCGTTGGAACGCAGCGCGTGCCGTGGTCAAAACGTACCGGGTTGAGACGTTACGTGTGGGTTCAGCACGTGGGCCTAATTTCGTTGTGTCGGCCAGGCGTGCGTTTTTCGATCTACGTGTTGGGCCACGTGTCAACACGCTCCTGGTTGCGTGTTGCGTATCAGGGCGTTGCAGCTGAGATATGATTTGGCCTCTGGGGCCCGTTCTGGGGCCCCGAGACTATCAACAGTGGATCCAAGGCGAAAAGTTGTCCCCTGGGAGTGGATCGGGACCTCGGGGGGCGCGCATGGAAAGAACCAGATCCGCGTGTGTCTGAGGGGGGGAATTCGCCATGAAGGAGAGGGCTCCTCAATGAAATGGATCCTGTCGTATTTTTCGCCGTTTTCGGGCCCTCCTGGGGCTTCAGGACGGGGCGCCGGGAGAGTCGAAAAGCTATTCAGGATGAGGAGTTGGTCGCAGGGGAAGCCCTGAGGTCGAAGCAGATCCTGAAAGAGGTCTCGCTCCTCTTCCATATTCACATCCTCGAACGCAGCAACCTCCTTCCGAAAAGCTTCCGTGCTCGTCGAAGCAAATCCCCCCCCCCCCCACCGCTCCCGGCTCGATGGAACGCCCTGGCGCCTCTCCTCCCGGCGCTTCGCCCTGGAGTCCAGGTCCCGTGTCCCTCAGGGCCCGCTCCCCTCCTGCCGAGGGCCAGCCAGGGGAGGGAGGCGTCTCGATCCTGCATCGCCCACTCCTCGCCCATCGGGACCCGGGCCCTCCACCCCGCCCGGGAGCGTGCAGTTTCGCTATATCGGGGGGCCTGCCCAGACGTCAAGCGTCTCGATTTCCCCCCCCAGACACGAGCCCCCGACTTCTCGACCACTTCCATTGGGCGTTTGTTCTTCCTCCCGAGTCGTTTTGTTGACGGTCCCGAGACCCAGTAAGAGCCCCGACAGTCCGAAAACTATAAACTTCCGTCTCGACTCTTGAGAGACGCTGGATGGATGTCTGGGTTACGCTGATCAATGGGTCGGCGATGGATCGCCCTTGATTCAAGGACATCTCCCCCCCTGAGTCAGCCCTGCCCTGTTGCCCCCCCTTCTACATCGCGCGAGCGCACCCCTGTAGTATCTCCGTTTTTTTTTGCGCACTCGCCAAGCGGTGATGTATGTCCCGCCTCCTGGCTCTGAGTCCTTATGAAAAATTACAGAGTTCCCAAAAGATCCCGGGCTACGAAAAAATGGAGCGGCCGATTTTTTGCCGTTTTCGGACTCCAGGGGCCCTCGCTGGGCCCAGGGACCGTCAAACAATAATTCAGAACGAGACACTGGCTGTAGGGAATTTGTCCAGACCTCTGGGGGACCGCGCATCGAAAGAATTTGAGCGGCAGGATGTCTGAACTATTGCATTGGAGGTGGAAGCTCTGCGGCGAAAGGTATGTGGTGCAATTTATGTCGCTCAGGCTATGTGGTGCGAGCCATGGATGTGAAGGCCCTGCGGTATACAATATGTGGTGTAAGCTATGTCGTGTAACGAACTTATGCCAAAGCATGAGTTGTAAATTCCACTGCTCGCGCAATCGTCCCACCCTCCCACCCGCAGCTTGGTTTGCAAACGCATGCGGCGGCGATTGCGCTGACAGTTTGGCGCTGGCTGGCGCATCTTTGCGGCCGCGCTGGCGCGCGCAAGCTCGCGCTCAGAACGGCCAGCTAGTTTGGCACAACCGATGCGGCCGCGATGGCGTTTACCGATGTCAACGTCCCGGCGCGTGTCGAGGGCTGCGCTGGCGCGCGGGCGCTTCAATGGGGGTCGGTGGCTCGGGCGGGCGCGGTAATGATGACGTCGGCAAAAGCGGTAACAACGACGATAGTAGCCATGGTGCCGGCGATGAAACCGTTGACGATGGCAAGGCCAAGGACGGCGCCGATGCTCATAACTCCGATGATGTCCATGTGTCGACGATGATGGTGCTTGAAGAATGATGGCGGCAGTGTCGGTGACGATGGCGTAGCGCGGCGGCGTTATAGGTGGCGATGGGAGGAAGTGCGCGCGCACGGAAGCCCAGTAACCCTGGCACACATTTTGTTGAAGCGCAGTTGTTTGGTCATACGTCTGTGACATGTTCTAGTTTGAAAATATTCGGCAACAGATGGGTTTGTAACGATTTTGATACGTTCGCGTGGCGGCGCGCGCGAGGGGCCCATGGTAATATATGTCACGGATTTGCGCACTGGGCGCATGCTGGATCAACGAGGACGCACGGCGTGGTGAGATTAGAACGCGAGGTCTGAGCGAGATGATTGAGTTCACATGGGTTTCTTATGGTTTCAACAAATGTGCGCGGGCAGAGCAATTGCAAGTTTTGTGATGAACACCAACGGGAGATCTCAAAATATTGGATGCTGACATCTGTGCAGAATTGGTGCTTGGCCTGAGTTCGATATGTGAGCGCGCATGCGGGTTATGTGGTTGCCTGTGTGCAAGGGAGTGCTCAAACCATGTTATTTGTGGTAAGCGTGGGCGCGCATTGCATCATTTGACAGGGATGTCATGATGATTTGATTAAAGGCACAACGGAGCACACTCGCATGTAATTTGCAATGTCCCTGGAGGTGCCGATAAAGTCTGGGGGGATACGGAGGTATAATCTATGTTATGTTTAGCTGGGGGATAGTTACTGGTGGTGTGAGCAGTATGAGCTGGCGGAGACCGTTCTGCGGTGTACTATGTGGTGTAACGAGTGTATAAGTGCTGCCACTAGCGGCAGCGTGACGAATCCTCGGCATACCCATCCAGCGCCCGAGGCGGCAACGAGGTAACAACGAGGCGGCAACGGGCGGCAACGTGGCGAATCCTCGGGACACCCACCCAGCGCACGAGGCTGAAACGAGGCGGCAACGGGCGGCCACGGACGGATACGTGGGGAATCTTCGGGACACGCACACACACACACACACACACACGCGCACGCACACATACACACACACACACTCAGATCACGAAGCGGCAACGTGGCGAAAACGAGGCGGCTACGGGCGGCAACGTGGCGAAGACGAGGTGGCAACGGGCGGCAACGTGGCGAAGCCTCGACGGACCGCCCACACGCGGCGGGCGGCAACGAGGCCGCAGCTGGCTGAAACGTGGCGAAACGACGAACCCCCCACGGGCGGCAACGCGGCGGCAACGGGCGGTGACGTGGCGCTTCTCGGCGGACCCCCAAGCGCTGTGGGCGGCAACGGGCGGCAACGTGGCGAATCTTCGGCGGCCCCCCCAAGCGCGATGAGCAGCAACGATGCGCCACACAGCGGCAACGGGGCGAAATGTTAGCGGACCCCCGAAGCGCGGGAGATTGCAACGTGGTGGCAACGGGCGGCCGCGTGGCCAAACCTCGGCGGCACCCCCAAGCACGATGGGCGGCAACGAAGCGCCAAACGGCGGCAACGGGGCCAAACCACAGCGGACCTCGTAAGCGCGTTGGGCGGCAACGGGGTGGCAACGGGCGACAACGTTGCGATACCTTGGCGGACTCCCCAAGCGCGGTGGGCGGCAACGGGCGGCAACGTGGCGAGTCTTCGGCGGACCCATGAAATCCTTGAGCAACCGAAATAAGAATCCGTAAGTGCCGGCAAGGACTGCTTGGGGACGACAAGTGCAATCTTGATGGAGAGAGGATCCGACCCAAGAAATCCGTCCTGTCTTCTGAACACATAGTCTGTTTTACCCTATCTGTTTTTTGGCCTGACGCCCTCTATGCTGGGCTAGATGTTTCATTGCCCAGAGCGCCCGCATACGATACAGCGTAACTTCAATACACGTGGTCACCCCTCTCCTCCTGATTATTCTCGCCACATCCTCTTCTCTCCCTCCCTCCTCACGCTCCCCTCTTCTCCCCTCTACCCTGCCTTCTTCTCTAAGACCCCCTTTCCCCTCTGCTTCCTACGACATTTGCTCTGGGCGCTCTTTCCTTGGGCCCCCAGCGCGCCTGTGACTGGAAGGCAGCGGGCAACTTCTTCGTGGAGCCCGAGGCCAAGCTGCTGTTCGTCGTCCGGATCGTGGGCATCATCAAGTTGAGCCCCAAGCCGCGCAAGGCGGTCCCGCTCAGCTTGCTCGCTGCATGGCTCTCCGCTGTTGTCTGGGGACCCCATCGTCGGCTGTTGCCGGAGGTGGCCCCTGCCCGAGGTGGCCCCAGCTTTGGAGGTCTGGAGCCTAGAGGTCGGCACCAACACCACTATTGGCGGTGTGCCTCCACCGATGAGGGAAGACGATCCCGAATTCGGTGATGGTGGTAATTTTTTTGTGGTTCCTGGGTGGCCGACATATCACCACCAACACCAAAATCTAGGATCATCTTTCTCCGTTGGACGCCATCCCCTGTGATGGTGTTCGTGCCAATTTCCAGGCCTCCAACAGCTCTTCTAGGGAGGCCGACAGGGCCTCCAGAGCACCCTTGACGGGGTCAGGAGAGCCACAGGAGCTCCAGACTGGCGCGACATGGGCCACCGTGTGCCACCTTGGGCTGGCCACCTCCAGCAACATCCGACCTCGTCGCCGCGGCCGCTCCAGAATCGAAGCGGCTGTCGGGCGGCTGCCTCACCGGTGCCGGCTGGGCGCCATCAGAGGGCGCGACGGCGCACGTTTGGGAGTTTCGTCGTGTGGCCTCGGAGCGGCGGTGGCGTTGATGCGGGCGTTCGCAGGCGGAAGGCCCTCCGGCGGTCTCTGGGGGATCCCCAGGAGGCGGAGATCGCCGATGCTTGGAAGGGCTGACGCGGTGACGGAGGCCACAGCCGGTGCCGCCGTGGGAAGACATTGCCGTTCTTCGAGGGTGGCTTCCGGCCAGCGTTCCTGGAGAATCCAGATCCAGATCCCGCGGCCCATCGATCAATGATTCAGAATCATTGATCGATGGGCCTTCATTTTCATGCTCACACTGTGTCGGGGGCGGCCGACACCCAATCTACCGATTTCAAGCCCACTCCTGCTTCGTACGTCTACCTACTTCGTCTAGTTGACGTGTAGGCATGGGCTTTCTGTGAATATGACATCCTTGCCACGGGAAGGGCATAGGACATACCTTGAGCAGGGCACAGGCTCGATCCGAGAAGCAGAACCTGGCCTCCCCAGTGCCTCAGCCTCAGCAGGCAAGGCGGGTCCAGCCGTCAGGAGCACGGCCGCCCCTCACGGGGTCGTCCTCGTGGAGGAGACGGTCGGGGAGGAGGAGTGGCGACCAGAAGGCAGCCCGAGATGAATCGACGATGTCGCAAGGCGCACACCCGTCCCGGGTCCTCGCATCGGGAGCCCCGATTCCTGGTCCCTGCTGGAAGTGTTCCCCTCGAGTGACGGGCGCCCCGTGGTCCTGCAGTTCGGGCCAGAGTCGCGTTCTGAAGAAGAGCTCCCGTCCATGCCTACAGCCCACGGACGCGTCCAGCGAGAGCCTCTTTTTGAAAAAGAGCCGCCCTCAATCCGTGCAAGTTTCACAGGTCCGACGTCTGCCAACATAATTGAAGGAAGTCGTAAGAGAGAGCCCCAGTTTGGAAAGGAGCCGCCACGCATCACTGTCTTTGTTGCACAGTTTTGGACTTCTGATCGTCAGGATGGCAGAAGTCTCAAGCGACATCTGCTGTGGAAAGGAGCCGCCCTCCAACCGTGTACGTGTCGGGAGTTGTTAGCACTACATTGCGCGGCGTGAAGGCGATAGCCACAGCTTGAAGTCGACCTGTGCTTCGTTCTTGTAACTGCTTGAGACTTGTAAGCGAATGTGCGCGGCGCTAAGGCGAGGGCAACATGTTAAAACAATTGCCATGTGTTCCATCGGTGTACCTACTGGGAGCTTGTAAGGCAAATGTCAGCGGCGCTAAGGAGAGAGCCTAATTTGGAAAACGACCCGTTGTCAATCCGGACAATTTTTAGAGGCTTGTCAAATTCGGGAGCCCCAAAAGGGTGGTGACCACACCCTGTGGTGAGTCGGTGGGGTTTCGGGTTCACCGCACGGTTTTGGGACTCGGGTCGTTCTCCGAGGACGTCTCGGGCGATTGGGGCATCCGAGGTCCCAAAACCGTGCGTTGACGGACCGTGCGGTGAGGTCTTGGGGGATTTCGCGGTCACCGCACGGTCTGTCACCACGCCGTTTCGGGATTCTCACAAAAACGAGTGCGAGCGGCGCTGAGGCGAGGGCCATCGTCTGAACATGGATTGTGCTCCAGCGTGTAATCGTTGGAAGGTTGACGAATCTGCGCGGCGCTGAGGTGAGAGACACACTTTAAAATCGACCAATCCCCCCTCCATTTGTGCAGCTGTCGGGTATTGCACGCTTCGGGTTCATAAGCGAGGTGGTGGTCTCAGGCGACCCGCCCAACCGACGCGTCTGGTCGTCACACGAGGAGGAGTTGTCCACATGGAAACAGGATTGGTCGGGGAGGAGGGGTGGCCGTCGGGGACGAGGGAGGAGGAGACGGAGGATGAGGAGGAGGAGGAGCGGGGGCTATCTTGCTTGATCTATCTTGAGGTATTTTGAGCCATTTTGGAGGCCATCTTGGGCTCTCTGAGGCCCTCGTGCCGCCAGCTTGGGCCATCTTGGGCGCTCCAAGTTAACCCGCGCCCCCCCCCCCCCTCCCTGGCCCAGGGGATGGGGAAGGGGGATGGGTAAACCCTTCTCCCGAGCAGGGGAAGGAGAGAGCTATGGCAGAGAGAAGACAAAGTTTGTTAAACCACCTACGCCAAGAGAGCTGGTGGGATTCATGGTAAGGAGCCCATCAGTAAGCGATAATTTGGCAAGCTGTTGCATTACGTATGTCTTGACGTGATCCTTTGGTGGGCATTCAATAGGGTTCGTCCTCCATGTGGGGGTTGAGCCAGCCAACAACACAAGGAACACGCAACAAACAACAAAGAAGTCGACGAGCCAAAACAGAAAACAGGACCCCAAAACAGCAATAATAAGCACACGAACGCACAACGTGCATCCCTTCCTCTGTGGTGGCAGCGGGAGTGACCCAGACGGTCGTGTTTGTGTGCTCGGTGTTGTTTGTGTGTTTTAGCTTTCCGAGCCGTCCGTTTCGTTGTTGTTTTGGGTTATCATGGTGTTCTCTTGGTTTTCCAGTTCCTCCCCCCCGCCTGGAGGGGATGGGGAAAGGAACGCGAAAGGACGAGGAGGAGGACGACGACGGCGAGGACGAGGAGGACCAGGCCCCCACGCCCCAGAGAGGCGGAGGTGGAGAGAGAGAGGCGGGAGGCGCGCAGGCTCTGGCAGCCCAGCCATGCCCAAGGGCAGGGGCTGCTCCACAATGGCTCTTCAGCAACTGTTTCCTTTGCAACGCGTCCTTCAGGAAGGGTCGAGCAGCCACAAGATTCTTGCGCAAGGACTTCTTAGAAATATGTCCACGGTGCGCCTTTCCCTTTCCTCGGGACTCCTTGGCACGGGCGCAGTCTTTGTGGAGAGCCCTCATGGGTGAAGCCGTCCCAGGAAACCCTGGCTGAGGAATCCTTAGCGCAGCAATCCTTGATGTGGACTCCCTACTCGGGAATTCATCTACAGTGGCCCTTACTAAGATATCCTTGCATGATATGGTCCTCGCCAAAGGATCACCAGGAGCGCGGACCTAGGGTCTCTAGCAAAGGAGAAAGCGCACCAAGGAACCATTTCCAAGAAGTCCCTACTGGAAAATGTTGGCTACTCAGCCCTTACTGAAGGACTCATTATTTTCTTGCACGGGATGTCTAGAGTACCCGCCCTTTTCAATTTCGGCACGCGCGCATGGCACCGGCACCGCCTCCCCCCCTCCAGCCAGCCCCGCTCTCCCTCGCCCCCGAGCAAGTGCGCCCCCTCCGCCCCGACAACCTTATTTCGGCACGCACGCACGGCACCGGCACCGCGCCCCCCACCCCCCGCCAGCCCAGCTCCCCGTCACCCACCAGCCAGCGCGCCCCCTCCGCCCAGACCGGTTTAATTCGGCACGCACGCACGGCACCAGCACCGCCTTCCACCCCCAACCAGCCGAGCCCTCGCCCCCCGATCCGGCGCGCGCCCTCCGCCACGACCGCGTCTTTCGGCACGCGCGCACGGCACCGACAGCGCCCAGCCCCTCCCAGCAGGCCCAGCTCTCCTTTTCCCCCAGCTGGCGCGCCCCCTCCGCCCCGACCTCTCGCGCACGGCACCCGCACCGCGCCCCCTCCCCCAGCCAGAGAAGATGCCCCTCACCCGCCAGCCAGCGCTTCCGCCCCGACCACTTGATCTCGGCACGAACGCACGGCACCAGCACCGCCTTCCCCAGCCTTTCCAGCCGGGAGGCTTCAAAAGCCCATCCATGAACGAAAAAGTGGCAATGACTTTTTTATTGAATCTCAGGTAATTTGTAAGACCCCCCTTTCGGCAAAGTGATAAGACGTCCCGCACAGGGAAGCGTTATCCCAGCACCCGCCGTCAGGATGATGATGATATTGATGATGATGATGATGATGATGATGATGATGATGATGTTGATGTTGATGTTGATGCTGCTGATGATGATGATGATGATGATGACGCTGATGATGTTGTTCATGATGATGATGGTGATGATGATGATGGTTGTGGTGGTGGTGATGGTGATGATGCTGATGCTGATGCTGATGCTGATGCTGATGCTGATGATGCTGATGCTGATGCTGATGATGGTGAGGCTGATGATGATGCTGATGATGATGCTGATGTTGATGCTGATGATAAGTATGATGGTGATAATGATGATGATGCTGACGATGATGATGCTGCTGATGATGCAGATGATGATGATTATGATGGTGCTGATGCTGCTGATGATGGTGATGAGGATGACGATGGTGGTGGTGTTGTTAATAATGATGGCGGTTCTTACGATGATGAGGCTGATGATGCTGATGCTGATGCTGCTTATGATGATGATAATGATGATGGTGATGATGATGCTGCTGCTGATGATGATGATCATGATGATGATGATGATGATGATGATGATGATGATGATGATGATGATGATGATGATGATGATGATGATGATGATGTGGAGATGATGACGTGTTGTTGCTGTTTGGCGCGGTGCGAAAGTTCTCGCTCGGCTAAAATCCCCCCTGTAATGTATTATTATCGGTGCGGTGCTACGGATAACCCTGGGGGGGGTCTTATTTAATCGCTTCGCTCATTCCGCCGGCCCGTATTGTGCCCTCGCTGGCGTTTGGGCTTCTGGGGGCCTTTTGGGGTCCTCGCTGGGGGTTTCTTGGGGGCCTCTTGGGTTTCTGTTGGAGCCTCTTTGGGGTTTCTAGGAGCTCCTTTGGGAGCATTTGGGAGCATCTTGGGGCTTCTGGGAGCCGCTTGGGAGCCGCTTGGGAGCTTCTTGGGGGCCTCGCGAGGGCCTTTTGAGGGCCTCCTGGGGCTTGAAAGGGGCCTCTTGGCGCCTCCTGGGGGCTTCTTAGGGCCAAGGGCTCGAAATGTTGTTTCGTGTTCCCCCTCTGGGGGTTCTCTTAGAGCGTTCTTGGGGCCCTCCTTAGCCGTCTTGGAGGCCTCTTGGGCCATCTTGGAACCCTCTTGGGCCGTCTTGGGGCCCTGTCGGAGGCCTCTCGGGCCTCTTAGGGCGATCTTGGGGGCCTCTTGGGCCGTCTTGGGGCGTCGCGATAACCCTGGGGGGTGTTTTTTATTCATTGCCTGAGGTTATTCTGGGTTCTTGGGGGGATCCCGAGGGTGCTCCGAAAGCAATAGGGGCCGTCTTATGACCCCCTTGGGGCCTCTTGGAAGCATGATAGGGGGCTACCTTAAATCGTCTTGAGCTTTTGTTTGCCATCTTGGAGGACATCTCGGAACACCTCCTCCTCCACCTTCTCCTTCTCCACCTCCCTTTATGTGCAAGAGCCATGGCACGCGTGCCACTTGTGAAGGAAATCCTTACTGAGGAATCCTAGCGGAGCAGCCCTTGCCCTGTGCTGTTTCAGCCTACGCGCCCACCGCCTTTCTCCACCTCCTCTCCGTGCGTGGGAGGCTGGTCCTCCTCGTCCTCGGCGTCGTCCTCCTCCTCCTCCTCCTCCTCCTCATCCCCATCCTCATCGTCCTTCTCCTCATCCTTTCCAGGCGGGGAGGATGGGAACTGAACAACAACAATCAAGAACACTGAAGATCACGCCCCACAAACAAGACATAATCCACAGGCCGACGGCTCAGACAGTCAAAAACAGACCACAAAGATAACAACCAACCATACAAACAAATACTTAGTCACCCCGGCCGCCCCCACAGAGAAAGTGTTGCAAGTTTTGCGTGGCTGCTTATGTTTGTTTGTGTTGTTTTGTTTTCCTGCTTTGGTTTTCGCTCCTGGCTATTTGGTTTCTTTGACTTGATTGTTTGTTCTGTGTGCGTTTTTGTTTCAACCCCCAGATGGAGGAAGAGCAATACTTGGAAGATGATCAAGAGGAAGATCGAGACGCATGAGGAGGGAACAAGAGATTGAGGATGACGAAGAGAAGGATGAGGAGACGGAGGAGGCGGAGGGAGCGGAGAAGGAGGAGGAATGGTTTTGAAATGGCCCAAGAAGGCTCCCCGCGGGGGTCCCATGCCAAGAACGAGTGAATACGGGGAGGGGGGAGCAGAAGGGAAGAGGAGAAGGAGCAGCAGCAGGAAGGAGAGCGGGAGGAAAAGCTTCGAGGATCTGGGTCCCCGGTTGTGCTTCCGTTGTGTCGTGGGGAGCGGAGACCTTTTTGGGATCTTTGAGGACCTCCCAGGGACTTCTGGAGACATGGCGGGCGAGGACCAGCGGACGACGTACTCAGGACACCCGCGCAACAAGTGAGGCACCATGGGTGTCTGACAAAGTGTGTCTCTTCCTGCCCTTGCTGGTCCTGTTCTGGTTCGTCTGGTTTGGGCAACCGCTTCCTTCCCGAGCTTTCCGCCTGGACTGAGGCCTCGAGTGAACGACAGGAGCAGCGGTGGTGAGGCGGGATGTCTGGAGGGGTGAGCAAAGAGGGGGGCGCGACGCTTTGGGGCGGGGTGATCTTGAGCACCTGGGGGCGGGAGCCAGTCGAGCCTGGGATACGGATACATCGTTCCATAGTTGCCCAGATAGCTCCGTGAGCGCCCTGGAGTTCTCCGAAGCTGCCGCGGCGCCAGATGCATCCTGCAGACCCGCCAGCTCTCGGAGATGCCCGATTCACCTTCATCCAGATTTATCCTCGTTCTGCCTTCGTCTTGGGTCAAGGGTTGCTGCAAGTGTCCCTGGCGCAAGGTGTCCCAAGCCTTCCTTCCCCATTTTGGAGCCTCTGGGGCCCTCTGGGCCTCGTGATGAGGTGCTTTGGAGGCCGAGAAGGCCTCCGTGGAAACCCTGGGGAGCACCTTGGGCAAGGACATCTCTGGCCACACCCGGCTAGGGGTGGAGGGGAGGGGGAAAATCGTTGCTTGGTATCCGACCCCGAACCAAACGTCCAGTGTGGTTTTGGACGTCGCCGCAGCGGTCGCGGTGGCCACAAGTCGGGGCAAAGTATTTGCCAAAGAGTGGTATGCCCCTTCCGGACCTCCCGCCCTGCGATGTAGACGCGGTTCATCACTGGCAGTATAGCGACAGATTTGTCAGTTGATGCCCAACATTGGCAGCCAATGTTTTGTTTTGCCTTTTGGTCGATGATCGCGGAACCAGGAAAGGCGAAGGGATCGCGCAGAGGGAAGGTGCTGCAGCTCCTGCGCCTGAAGCAGCTGCACAACGGAGTCTTCCTCAAGGCGCCCCGCGGCCCCCCGCTGCGGGGGTGGGGGCCCGCTGCGAGGGGAGGTGTGTATCGGGGCGAGTTCGAAGGAATTAGAGGACGCGCGAAGATGGATCAAGGCGCGCAGACTACCCAGCCAAGCGTAGCGGTGGGGAGGGGGAGGGGGGACGCCTTCTTAGAATCACTTTTTTTTCTTAGAAGGCGCGGGCCTTGTCTGTAGATGTAGGGAGGGCGCCTTCTAAGAGGCAGCCTCCTTCTAAGAAGCCTTCCCCTTCCCCCTCACCCCCCTTGTGCTCGCCGCCAATCTACGGTCGGGAACGTTTGGATGGATAGCGTGTCGCTCTGCCAGATCTGGCCTACCACGCTGCGGCGCGACACGCTAGCCGCATCCCAGTCCCTAGCCGTCACCGTCCCGAGCCTTTCCCGACCTCCCGCCCCGCGGGGCGGAGCGACACGCCATCCGATTGCAAGCCACAGCGTGTCGCCCGGGGCCGCTGCGTCGCCAGATCAGGTCGCAGTGGCCTCATACTTCGGGGGGACCTTCCCCGATCCGTGGAACTGGCGCCCACGACGGCATCGAGGCGGTCTCGGCGGAATGGGCTGCATCGGTCCACGAGTGGGGGGCGAGTTATGGACCAACGGCCTGTGCTTCTGGGGAAAATATTCAAAAGATGCGATCCGCGCAGTCGCCCTTCCTGCCGATGAGCGGGGCGGAGGTGGAGGGAGAGGAGGAGGAGGAGAGCAGGACGGGAATGAGGACGATGAGGCGAGCGAGGAGGAGGAGGAGGAAGAGGAAGAGGAGGAGGAAGAGGGGGAGGAGAAGGAGGAGGAGGAGGAGGAGGGGGAGGAGGAGGAGGAGAGCTCCGTAGCCAATTTGGCTCAAGGCCATGTCGGGGATCCCTGCCCCCCCGACTGAGGCCCCCCAGGCGAGCAGCCCAGGCTCGCCTGGGGTGCTTGCTGGCCTCGTGTGTTGCACACACAATCCACCGTTTCGATATCGTCGGTTTCCCATCGTAACAGGACGGCACCAGAAGAGTTCTGTAACCATTGTTCTTCCTGCGCAATGTCAAGGCTCGAGCGGCGCAGGTCTCAAGCCATATGGCGGGAGCGTGAGTATAGAGACGAGGCTCGTGGGAACGGTAGTGATCGTGGCACGCGGGGACCCCGCCACAGCGCCAACCATCCCGCGGAGCTTGGCGCAGGGAAGGTGCCAAAGGGGATATCGGTGATGTTCGAAGGCAGGGCGGGTTTGGTGCCTGCAAGAAGAATCTCGATTCCTACACGTTCGGCAAGCACTGCTTCGAGTGGAAGGTTGGGTCCCCGACCGATGTCACGACATTGGCTCTTCTTGGCAATGATGACCATAGTAGCGTGGATTTGAAGAGGGTCAGCGAGGCGAGCCTTGCCTGTTAAAGGCAAATGCCCAGGCCCTGCCCCCCCAGACCACACGGTGGTGGGGAAACCGTATGATGGTTTCCGTCTGTGTCCGAGCTTGCAGAGCTCATCAGCATGGCCGAGAAGCTGGGTGATGAAGCTACGGGTGCAGGAGAGTGCCCAAAGGTCCCACGCCACAGTCAAAACGGTTGAAGAAGCATTGGCGGTTGAGGTGGGCGAACTCGAGTTGCATCAAGGTTGGGTCGAGACGCAGTCGGTCTGTGCGCGCAAGATTGAGAGCACTAATCAAGAGGTTGACGCAGAGCATGCCAAGATCGTGTCAGAGTTGGTTGGCTCAGTGGCGCAGCAGCAGTCAGCGGCTCATCGCACTGTCTCTCTGGTGGCCGTGGTGGACGGGGCCAGCGACGCATGCACCCCTGGGCCAAGCCCAGAGGGCGTATACACCGCTCCTGGGCCCGGGATGGGTCAGGCCTGGGGCAGTGGATCTGCGCAGATCCTGCTGCCCTGGAGTAGTGTTAAGTCGGGCATGTCCCTCCTCAGGGAGAATATCCCAAACTAGCCAGAACATACTACTATGGGGACGATTGTTCGATTATTGTTGAAGTGTATTTGAGTCTTGTTTGGGGATTTGTCGTTTGTCGTCCAGAATCCGCCTGTGGGAGGATCTGCCCGACCTAAGGTAAGAGTCGTAACCTAAGATAGAAGTAGATACACCTCCACCACAGAAGAACGAGTCAGACCCAGATCGGGGTGAGGGCTGCTTCTGGCGCGAGCGTCCCTGCCCCCCTGGCCTTGATATTGTCCATAACTCGGCATGCCACCCGCTCTCCTCGACGCCCCTGGTCAAGACACTCATGCATGCAATGCGCTTCCCCCAGAGGCCCAGATTCCACTAGGCAAGAACGATGGTCAGACCCTGCTTGCCTTATCTTTGCGTCTCTGGAACGTCCTCAGCCCATTTCGTTGGCCAACCCACCGACATCGTGGCAGCTCTGTCGCACAAGGGTCTTGCACACGCAGCCTGCTTCATCACACGATCTGTGGCGGCTGTTGCGTAGCTTGGCCTCTCTTCCCCCCCCCCCTCCCGAAGCGACCTGTCGGAGGAATTATGACGAGAGATGCGATGGTCCGCAGCCCTCCTGGTCGTCCCATGGGCGTCGACGCCTGTTCTAGTCGACCAAGCGGTTCCAGCGATGAGCCATTCGCAGATTAAGTTTCTAGATCTACAGTGGAAACCCATGCCAAGAAACACCCTGCTTGCCTCATGGCTGCCCTGAGTTTCTTGGGTTTCGATGGTCTTGCTCTGGAGAACGTGACTTTCCCACCGAAAATCAATGGACGTCCTGGGGTCTCAGGGTTGGGTTTCTCGTGGAAGATTTCTTGTGTTCGAGATACTACTGTATGCCGCTCCTGCCGCCGCAACGCTCTGTCCAGCCAGGGTGTGCCCGCTCTCGAGGGGGGAGTCAAGGAGCACGGCTCCCCCCGCTGTGGCGGCGCTGGTCGGCGCCGGGAGGCGGCTTTCTCGGAAGGCGGCCCCGCCTCCAAAGAGCCCTCCGGGCCTGTGACGCAAGCCCCTTGGCTCCTCCGAAGTCGTATTTCCCTTTCGGCGTCAACCATCTCTTTCCTCCCTCTCTTCTCCTTCTGCCCCCCCTCCCCCTGCCCCCTCTCAGGAGAGTGATTTGTCCTAATTTCGCAATGCTGAACGCTGTAACCCGCGCAGGTGGAAGGCAGTCGCCAGCCGGGTTGCTATTTTTTGGAGCTGTCCCTATTTGTTGTGCCTTGGTCTGGACATGCGCCTCCAACCGATTGCACTTCTGCAGCCGATGTGTCGTGCAGAAACGGCTTCATTGATGGATGCATCGTGGACCATCTCGCTCAGGTTCGGGCTGCTCTCCAAGCGGAGGCCGAGCAAGAGCCCGGCGAGCTTTCTTCAGGAGGATCGGAGGAGCCTGCATCGGTCAGGCTAGCCTCCGTCTGCTCCTCTTCTTGCAACCCAATGTTCTCGGGTTCAGGGCGCTCGTCGAAGCGATTGCCTCTTAGCGTCGGCCCCCGGGGATCTCGACCCTTTGCCCTCACGGTCCTGGGGCCGGGAGACGACGAGAAACCAGCCGTCACGATTTCTTCACGCCCGGATCTGAGGCTCTTCGGAGTCCTCCGAGGATGAGCCCTGGATCTCCTCCGAGAGGCCCCTGTCTGCCCTGCTGCCGCCCGCCTTGCCCTGCCCTTGGCCGATAACCGCTGGAAGCCGGTCTCCAGAACCATGCCCAGGATCCGACTTGGCCAGACCTCCTCGCATTGTGAACATTACCCCATCCACTACCGAAAATGTTTTTCAGTTTTTGGCCTCCGGGGGCCTGGCAAGGAACCGTCAACAGAGTTGCGCACGGGGAGTGGTCGAGACCTTTGTGTGCCCACCTTGCGATCAAGATCACGTCGTGGGGCGGCGTTTCATCCTGAGTCGTTTGTGACAGTTCCAGGGCCTGGCGAGGGCCGCCAGAGGCCGAAAACGACGAACAACATCCGTTTTGTTTTGCCGAATTTCCTAAGTATGAGGTTATTTTTATGATTGGGACGCCTCCGCCTCCTCACTCCTGCCTCGCCTCCTCACATTCGCGTCCTTCCCCCTCTTTTGGCACTCGTATCACTTATACTCAGACTCTCTCACACTCAAAGTGACTCAGACTTAGAGTCACTCACAGTCTGAACACTCAGCTCACACTCAGATAACTCTTAATCCGACTCGCTCACAGTCAAACTCAGACTTACTCTCCCGAGCGAGGCTCTTGTCGTAGCACCCAAGGACGAGCCGCCAGGGGGTCTTACACTCGCCCATTCGCGGCCAGATTGTGGGGATGTCTCAAGCGGTTTGCTCGTTTCGGGGCCCAGGCTCCTCTGCTTTCAGAGCAGGTCGTGAGGATATCCCGAGCGAGGCGCTCGTTTTAGCACCACAAGTGAGGGCCACCTGGGGGTATTACACGCGCCCGTTCGCGGCAAGATTGTGGGGATGTCTCGGGCTGGCCAGAATGCGTGGATGCCTCAGGCGGCTTGCTTTTTTCGTGACCCGGACTCCTCCGCTTTCAGAGCAGATCGTGAGGATGTCACGGGCGAGTTGCTTCGTTCGTGAGTGGGATTGCTTTGTTCTAAGACCAAATTGTGAGGAGGTCTTGAAAGAGGCGTTGGCTTCGCACCCCAGGCCGCCAGATCGTGGGGACGCATCTAGCGAGGGGCTCGGTTTGGCCTCTCCGACTTCTGTCCATTCAGAGCCCAATGACCACTTCGACGTAGGGAGCAGCCGCCAGGACCGAGGAGGGGGGGGGGGGGAGACCGCAGGAAGAGGGAGATGGGAGGAAGGGACGGGTACGACGAGGAGGACGAGGAAGGAGAGGGTAGGGGAACCTGCTCGCCGCCTGTGTGTATGTGAGTAGTCATCGTCGCTGTCCCTCATCGTAGCAGTCGCCGTCGTCGTCGTTGTCGTCGTCGTCCTATTCGTCGTCGTCGTCGTCGTCCTACTCGTCGTCCACTCGCATATTCGTTCTCACGCACACACACGCGGCCAGACTTTGACAGCGGCACGTATCACGAGATGTACGTATGGGGACCTGCACGTCGAACAATATCCAATACGACTGAGGTTTTGGGAGGGGTCTGGGTTCGCAGGCGAGCGAGGGGGGGAAGTGAGATGGAACAGGCTTTCTCAGAAGACGGCGGGGCTTCTCAGAAGGCTTCGGGCCTTCTGAGAGGTTGTCCATGTCTCCGGGGCAGGCGTAGAACACTTCGTAGACGTCGGAAGGACTTCCAAGCCTTCCGAGAGGCCTGCCCCCCAGACCCCCGACGTAATGATTTTTGCATAATGTCGACCCCAGAGGTCTCGACCCATTCCCCAGGAATGATCTTTCATCCTGAGTCGTTGACGGTCCCGGAGCCCGGTGAGGGCCCCTGGAGGTCGAAAACAGCCAAAAACTTCCCGTCGTGTTTTTTTTCACAACGCGAGGGGATTTGGGCCCCTCTCACTTCCCCGCCCGGGCTCGTCGCCGAGATGGGTCCCTGTGGCCGGCGTCCTGAGCAGCGCCCCGCGGGGACGGCGAGAGACCCTGGCGAGCCAGGGGCCGAGAGGCCCTCGGCGAAGAAGAGCGCCCCCTTCGCCCCACGCCGCCGTCGCGTTCGCGACCCCCCCGCGCCCCGAGGTGAACAAGCCGATCCTCAACATGCTGAAGTTGGTGCAGCCGTATGCCCCCAGGGCCTCGGATCGGGATACGTCTAGGCCTCCTAGATGGGGTCGGATTGGATGGGGTCGGAGAATCGCCGCCGCATCGCCGATGCATCGGCGATGCGGCTCGATGTGGAGCCCGAGTTGCTTCACGGTCGACGGCGCCGATGCATCGCCGACGTCGACGATACATCGCTGGTGTATCGCCGATGCACCACCGATGTATCGGAGATGCGGCGCGATTCTCCGACCCCATCTACTCCGACCCCATGTAGGAGGCCTCTAGACTCTAGATGCACCTGGGCGGATATCGGTTTCGACAGGGGAGGTGTTCGGGAGTTTTTGTCGTTTCTCTGCAGTTTTGAGCCCCAGTACGTTTTTTTGTTTCAGTTGCAGCGCCTCGTCGAGAGCGTTCTTCGGGGGTGCCAGAATCGTCCTGAAGGGCCGCTGGAGACCCGAGTCATGACCCGAAACCTGTGATCTCCGACGATATGGTGTTTTCAATCCCAGCGTTTTTTTAGATTTCGGCCTCGAACTGGCATCAGAAAGGAACCCTGGAGGAACGCTCTGGGACAAGGGCTGGGGCCTTTCTAGGGCCGCGGCTTAGACACATCACATCCGAGGATGTCTGGGGAGGGGGAGACCCAGACCCCCTCGAATCATCAGGAAATCACGACGGGCGGTTTTTTGCCCTTTTCGGCCTTTTGGAGCCTTTTGGATGTCCTTTTGGATGTCCTCGCGGATCTCCAGCACCGGCGCTGGACCCTCTCCTTGGCGAGCGAAGCGAGGTGGTCGTTTTTGAGTTCGTTTTTCAGGGGGCGGGGGATGTTGATGAGGAGGGGGAGGAGGAGGAGGAGGAGGAGGAGGAGGAGGAGGAGGAGGGACGGAGGAGGAGGGGGGAACGAGGAAGAACAGGAAGTGGAGGGAGTGGAGGAAGCAGGAAGAGGAATGAGCTGCCCCCCCTGCCCAATTAGAAGGAGCATGTGCGCGCGCATGCGCCTGCTGTTCTGCTACCCAGGTGCAGCCGTACGTCACGTACGGCTACCCCACGCTTAAGACCGTGAGGGAGCTGGTATACAAGCGCGGTTTCGGCAAGGTCAACAAGCAGCGCATCCCGCTCTCAGATAACGAGATCATCGCCAGCAACCTCGGAGAGAAGGACATCAACGGCATCGAGGATCTCATCCACGAGATCTACACCGTCGGACCCAGCTTCAAGCAGGCTTCCAATGTTTAACGGCCCTGCAAGTGGTGCGGTTCCCATATCAACGGCAGGAGACAACGAAGCAACACATACGACGTCAGAGACAAGAGCAGGGGAGAGGAGCGCCACAAACCGAACACCAGACGGGCGGAGGGAGGAGGGGTTTCCCTTGCCCGCCACCCCTCCCCGCCCAGGGGCCTGGGAGCTGCCTCCCCTCCTCCGCGGAGGCCTCCAACTTCCTGTGGCCCTTCAAGCTCTCCGCCCCGAAGGGCGGCTTCGAGAAGAAGCGCCACGGCTTCTGCGAGCAGCGCGGCGGCGCGTGGGGCAACCGCGAGGACACCCCTCCCACGTCCCCTCCCCCCCTTCCGGCCTTCGGCCTGCGCTGCGCCCCTTTCAGAGGAGGAGACGGTGGCGATTCCGCTCGCCGCTGCCCTCCCATCGTTTTCGCATGTTTGGACCTCCACGGGAGGCCTTCGTCGCCGCGGCTGGGTTCGCGTAGATGGTGCGGTCCCCGCAGACCCCGAGAGAGGTCCGAGAGAGGCGGTATTGCGAAGGCCTTACGGCCGATGCCGCCGACCCTGTAGGCAGCGACGACGAAGACAATGGAGGTAGAGGAGTCCAAGATGCCCTCAGATGGCTCGAAGACGGCGCCAGATGCTTGCAAGGTCGTCCGAAGACAGCTCAAGAGGCCTCCTCCAAGGTTCAGGAACGGCTGTAGAGAGTGCCAAGATAGGCAAAGAGCGACCGCAAGTGGCTCGAGAGGGTTCCAAGACGGCGTCAAGCGAGGTCCAAGAGCGCCCGCAGAGGCTGTCAAGAGTGCCGCCAGAGGCTGCCAAGAGAGTCTAAAGATTGCGAAAGGTCTCCAAGGAGCTTTAAGATAGGCTGAAAGGGCCCGCAGACGGCCCAGGAGGGCCAACGGAGCCCCAGGACGCAGGAGGATGAGAGGCGGGGGGCTGCGTATCCGAGGGGGGACCCCCCCTGGGAGTCGCCCCGGGACCCCCCCCTGGGACCCCCCCCCAACGGCGGGGAAGGGATCAAGGGAAGGGGCTTCCCTTCGACTGAAGGCCGACGTTGTTCAATTTGTGTGTGGACTTGTGTAGGGATCCCTCGGAAAGCAGAAGAGGCGACGACGTTGTGGGGAAGACAGAAAAGCCCCTCCCACACGCCGACAGGGTCGGTGGATTTGTATGTTTCGATTCCCTCCCCAGTAGGGGAGGGGGCGAGGAGGAAGAGAGGGTGGAAGTTGTTTCGTCCTTCTCGTCCTTGCCCAAGAAACGTCCCCCTCTCCTTCCCTCCCCTCTCGTCGTCCTCCTCCTCCGCCTCCTCCTCCTCGTCACCTCCCCCCTCCGCATCCCCTCTCTCTCTAGTCCTCCTCCCTCTCTTCCGTCTCCTCGTTCTCTGGCTCCTCCGTCCTCCATCCTCTACGGGCGAGGGGGCCGTGGGAAGGCGGGGTGGGGAGGCAGAGATGGATGAGGAAGGACGGGGACGTGGTGGAGGGGGAGGGGCTTGAGAGATCCAGGAAGAGAGGAGGAACCTGAGGAACGACATGCTGATTGGCGATGGGCGGGGCGAGGAGAAGGAGCGAGGAGGGAGGGAGGAGGGCGCAGGAGGGCCAAGGTGGAGGCACGAGGGGAGACGGAGAGCGAGGGAGAAGAAGAAGGAGTGAAGATGAGGGCGGGAGGGTGGCGGGGGAAGGAGCAGGGGGAAGCACGGGCAAGGAGGGGGGAAGGAAAGAGGGGATGAGAAGGGATGGGGCCGGGGGATGACGGTGGAGGCGGGGGGGAGGCGGAGGGGTTTTGGTCAGGAACGTTTGATTGGCGTGTCGCGCCGCCGGCTCTGGCCCGCTACGTTTCGGCGCGTCACGCTGAGCATCGTCCCAGTCTCCCCGGGCATCGTCGCTCCAGGTGTCTCCCGGCCTCCCGTCCAACGAGGCAGCGCGACATGCAATCAGCTCACAAGGCATAGCGTGCCGCAGGGGCCGCCGCCGCAACACGTTGGGCAACGGCTCCTCACCGTAAGAGGGAGGATGAGGGAGGAGGAGGGGAGGATCTGGAACAGGAGGGAGCGCAGAGAGCAGGAGGAGGGAGGAGGCATGAGGAGGGATCAGGGATGGTGGGACGCCGGAGTGGGGAAACTTGCCAGAAGAATGCAAGGTACGAGGATGAATGAACAATGCTGCCGTATACCCCCCCCATCCCAAGTCCTTTCCTCATGCATCCCCACAGTGACTAGATGTCGCTGCTGGCAGTTCCCTCTTAAGAGGCGAACGCCCCTTGCGCTTGTATTTTTAGGCGAGGGGCCTGTTTTGAAAAGGATTCGCCCTTCTTCCGTGTCCTACTTGGTGTAAGTTGTTAAGACGTTTTCTCGCGGAGTTGAGGCGAGGGCTCTTGGTTGACAAGGAGGCGCCCTGCTTCCCTTTAGCTGTTGCATGCGGTTCCGCCGAATGGACGCTACGCTGAGGCAGGAATCCCATGTTAAAACCGGGCCATCAATCATCCGCGTAGTTGATGCAGCGTGTGGGAGGAGCATGCGTGGCGCTACAGCGTGAACCTCATTTTGACAAACAGCCTCCTTGAACCCGTGTAATTGTTGTAAGTTTGTAGGACGCGTGTGCGCGGCGCCCAGGCGAGAGCCGAATGCTGCAAACTAGTCATCCTCCGTTTGCGAGATTGTTCGGATTGGCCAGCCTCAGGGTCACACACATCGAGGAAGTCTAAGTCTTAGAGGGGTAAGAGGAGTGAGGAGCAAGATACGGACATTGACGTGGAGGAGTGGAGGAGGAAGGGGAGGGACAGAGTGCAAGAGAGGCGAGAAAGCTTGGAGAGGGGGATGTGGGTGATGAGCTGGTCATCGGCGCAGACGAGCTGGTTTTGTGTGACACGCCTGCCAGGATCTCATCAACGAGCTCGTCTCGCGCATGAACTGAGTGCTCGGAGCGCACCAGACCACGGCCCAGCCAGCATGGCAGCGCTAAAAACGTCTGTCCGGTTCTGGTTTGCATTGGCCTGGCTTGGGGTGGGCGTCGCTTCATGCCTCCCCACAGTCCGTCTGGTTCATGGCATGTTTCGACGCTGGTGTCGCTCGGAGACGCCTCGCACTCGGCCCGGGTGCTCACCCTTATTGGGGCATTGGAGAGGGAGGCGGACGCGGACGGCGGAAGGGAAGCCCGAGGCGGACACGGACGACGAGCCCACGAGCAGGACGCCACAGAGAGCAGCCCCCACGAATCTGGTTGGCACTGCACTTCCCAACGTCCTCCTGCGTGTTTGCCGCGGTGTGCGCCACATAGTGCAACCCTCACCCGCTTCGTGGGTGACGACGCTCCGAACACACTGCGTGTGGCCACATGCCCACGGCCACGACGCTGGAGCAAGGGCCACGTTCGGCTCAGGAGCGCCGTGGCCAGAAACGCCCCTGCCTTCTTGCTGTGCCTTTCTTGTGGTAGTACTGTGACTGCACTTCAGTTTCGCTGCACCTCGGCTGTTTGCGGTGCTTTGCGACCTTCTGTGCTGCGGCCACCTGCGCGGCACCGACGTTACGTCCGTGAGTGCGCACGCAGCTTGGGATGGCCAGGTTGGCTGGTGGGCGGAGGGCGGAGGGAGACAGGGAGCGACCAGCAAGCAGGAAGAAGGCAACACAAGTGGTGCCTCGGGCTTCTGTGTTCCGCACGCTACGCGGTGACTTCGGCGAACGTTAAGGAAGCTGCTGTGTGCAGGGTGCTCCAGGTTCTCCCTAAGTTACATGTTGCGTGCGGATTTGAAGAGTTGGGCTTGTTGCGAGGGTTTCTTGCGGCCGCGTGCTCACTGAATGGTTGCAGGGCGGTGTTGTCATTATGTCGTGCTGCGACGTCGTGGCACAGCGTTCGAGTGCTGGCCACCGGGCAGGTAGGCCTCTAAGTTTACGCCTCCGCCCCGACACTCGGGGCAGGACTGGGTGCGGTTACCATGCTTGCAGTCAGCCCGGGGATAGTACGAGCAAGGCAAGCCAAATGATGTATCATTGCAGGGGAGGTTTTCCGACGTTTTGACGTCGACGGCGACGACACGTTGAGCATCGAGGACGCACAGAAATTTGTGTCTATCTCTCTCTCTCTTGCCCCTTCTCTCGACCTTCGGCTGCGCGGAAGAAGTTTGTTTCGATCGATTGCAGCCTACATCAGCCTTGCCATGATGCTTTGACGCACGAGTGTCCAATGGCCGTCGGCCCATCCCGCCACCGTGCCTGCTTTTTAGGACAGAGGCCTCTTGGATGCCTGCGGGGATTTCTTGTGAAGCATTTCGGAAGCCTTTTGGAGGCGGTGTTGTTGTGTATTGGGGCGTATTGGGGGCCTCTTTTGGGCCTCTTGGAGGCCCTCCTGAGGCTTCTGAGGGCTCTCGCAGGGGCCTCCATAGTGCTCTGACGCACGAGTAGACACGTGTGACCTTCTTTCTCGCTTGCGTCCTGGCGCGCATGCGAACGGGCGCTGGCTAACATGCTGGCCGACCTCTGTCGTCTTCGGGTCGGCTACGCGCAAGAGTGACCCTTCGCTGGAACGACCTGTGGTCCGGGTTCACGGGCACCCCGCCACACACTGGCTGGCGCGCGATTGGACTGCTTGAGGTTGGCCTCCCCACGAGCACCAACGGTCACTCGTGCCTGAGGGGCACTCATGCGTGCAGCCGGTCGGGATGTTGGGGTCGGCGACGGGGGCAACGGGAGCCGATCTGGGCCGGACTTCAGACGTGAGGCCCCGCGGGGCCAGAAGCTTGGCATCGCTCGGACGTGTGCTTTTTTTGTTTCGGCGAAGACCATCGAGGAGCATCTTGACTCGTCCTCGGGAAAACTGCAAAAACGCACGACACCGCAGCATGCACGGGGAACGGACGTCCGAGCGATGGCGAGGCGGGCCTCCGTGCTCCCCACCTGCGCCACCGAGGACGCCGCCGACCTGGTCGAAGCGTCCGGGCATGCGCTCTCTGGCGAGGGCCCCGCCTCCGAGGGGGCCTCCCCGGCTGGCGGGCTCCGCCTCGGCGGAGGGGTCGGCGGGTGGCGCCCGCGGAGGTCCGCGGAAAAGCGAGCGGCGGCTCCGCGGGCGGAAGGAGGAGATGCGCGCGGGGCGGGAGACGCTGGCGGAAGGAGGAACGGGGGGAGGTGCCCCGTGCCGCCGTACCCGTCGCTCGTTTTTTCCCCTTTGGGGCCTCCTGGGAGGCCCTCGTCGCCACCGCTGGAGTCGCTCCGAAGTTCCGGTCGGAACGCGGGAGAGGTCCGGGTATTCTTGGCTTCCCCAGATCCGAACTCCTCTGGGGGCCGCGTCTTCCTCTGTGGCCTCCTGGGGGCCACTGGACGGCGGCGCGGCCTCTGAGGCCGCTCCTATCCTGTCCTCCTCCCGATGGTCGCGTGTTCGGGTTTCATGGTGTCCGGAGCCCGCTGTCTGCCTGGCGCGGAAGCGATGTAATTTTGTTCCGTGTGTAAGCGTTGTTTGCGTTGCTTGCGCTGCTTGCGCGCATGTGGGTGCGCTTGGTCTCTGTTGATGTTGCCGATCCTGTGCAATCCTGGCGATCCCTGTTGTTGGCACGAGTGCGCTGAGTACCCACGAGCAGTTGGTTGCATGATGCTTCGGGACTGCTTGGCTGAGTGTCGTCGTGTCCATGTGTTCGGTAACCAGCCGTGTTCATACATCCACGTCTTGGCAAGGTAGTTTGCGCAAGTTCTCAGAGTATGGTGCTCGCATGCTGCTTATACAGTGCGCTCGAACGCAAATGCAGACCGCTTGTGCAGTTTAGAAATTCGAGTCGGCGTTTGAGATGAGCCTGCTGACGATATCTCAAGGTGTTCATGTTGTGTATCTGCCTTTGTGATCTGTTCTTTTGATCGAACTGGAGGCGATTGGATTGTTCGTGGTCTATGAAACAGCAGCGTCTGATTGTCCAACCGTTACACACCATGAGTTTTTCAGTTGGAACGCCCATGCATTGGATTCGCATGTTGTTCCTCTCCGTTCTGAGCCGCCGCCATCATCTGTTTAGTAGCGAGGAGTTTGCTACTGCGTTTGCGCCAATGACGGGCTTCCGCACTAACAACAGCAATTTGTACTACAGCACTTGGGGGCGTCAAATACCAGGATCGCCATGTCGGCATCCTGCTGCTCTCGTTCTAACACGGGCGTAGTTCGGGATAGCGCCTGCGGGTTATTGACCGTTGCAGTAAGATTTTCCCAGTTGTTTGAAGTTGCAGCTCAGCCATGATCTCCAACTCGGAACGGAACGAGACGCAAGGTTGCTATTCACAGTGGGCGGGACATGGTGAGTGTTGGGTCTGCAAGAGTTTTGACAGTTGACCGCGTCCGCCTTCCATCCCCCGGCTTCTCCCCGAAGGTGGTAAGTGGTCGTGTTCGAGTTAGGTATGAGTTCTTCCGTCCTCTCACTCGGATGATCGCCATCGTTGGGTTCGTTGAGACGCTCTGGGCATCAGGGCTGATGAAACCCACATGGATTGAGCTTGCGCGTTGTACTTTTACCGTGAGTCTCCCGCCTGCCCAGCGCATGTTTCGGTAAGCGTTTCTGGCGATGGGAGTTCGTTTGGTAGGATTTGATTTGGCCTTCTGATGAAAGCATTAGGGCGCCGACCAACACCACCCATAATTTTTTCCATATCCCCTATGTGTCTTCCGTCCGCTTTGGATCTGGTCACGGGTGCCACTCTCCTTGCACCAATTTACAGGGCAAGGGCATCTACAGCGCGTTGTCGAAAGACGTGGTTGACATCCACTTCGAAATAGCATCAGAGCATATTATGCAACGTGCACATCACATGCGAGACAAAGTTGTACAACACGAGGCATTGGCAAAGGAGGGCAAGTGCCGAAATCAAGGTAGACAGCGAAAGGCTGAGTTATAGAACGCAACGGGCGGCACAACAGGCCGGTCGTGGCGGGCCTCCCTGCACACGGTAGCAGTCTGTTGTCGTTTCGCATGTGTGTGTGTGTGTTTCGCTTGCACTGCCGCCCGAAAACGATATGCACGTCCCTGGGTCAGGAGCAGCCGCTGCAGATGCCAAGCTGTCCCAGAGGCATCCCGCCAGGGGGGAAACATGCAAGGCATGGAGAGGTCGTGATTCGCAGCATTAGCAGCATTGGAGCAACCAGTCTTCTTGAGCACGAAGAGCCGACACACAGGGCAGCCTGCGGCAAGAGAGAGGCCTGGGCCACCAAATGGGGACCATCAGCGGACAACATCGGTTCACATCGGCTTTCTTATCCAGAACGTTGGCTGGTCTGGTCCCGAAGGGATCGTCTGCGACGTTCACCTGCACTGCATGGACATTGCCCAAAACCCTACTTGGGTGGCGCAGGTGTAGGTGAGGGAGCTGCGAGATGGGTGTTGCAACAAATCCTGGGGACCCAGACTGGGGACCCAGACTTTCGCGAGCGTCCCCTGTGGGCCCCAGCAGCCCCGCCCAGGCGCCCGCGGCGAGGCCGTCCGCAGGACTGCGCGCTGCCTTCCGATAGCGACTGTGCCCCCCTCCCCGCCATCGGGAGCGCCTGCCCCAGCGCGGGCAAGATTTCTATCCATGTCCACTGCGTCTTGGACTTTCTGGGAAGGGGTGCCAAAAGGCCGAGGCGCAGTGGATGTGAATGAGCATCTAGCCTCTCGGGGCCAGGTGTTTATGCATATCCAGTGCGCCGCGGGTGTATGGGGAAGGGGGCCCGAGACTCCAAGATGCACTCGATATGGGCCTACATCTTGCCCGCGCCCAGGGCGGCCAGAAAGTTTGTACCCCCACGCGCCACCGTTGAGGCGGATTGCAGATTTTGAGGGGGAAGACTCTCAAACGCATGGAGGCCTCAAGGGGTGGACAGATCTTTTCATCAACGGCCCTAAGAAGGTCTCGACCGTTCACCCAGGGCGGGTTTCTGACGCGCACACACCCTTACATGCTGGATGGCCCCGTTGTCCGAGAACGGCCCCCGAGAGCCGCATTCGAAGAGAAAACGGCGTTGAAATTCGGGGCTCAGGAGACGGGGGTCAATGCAGACGGGGGTCAGTCAGAGCGCCGGATCTTGCAGGACCCTGCAGAGCCAGGGGTGCATTGACCCGGGCTTGCGTGCAGGATCTTGCAGGATCCTTCAGGATTTGCAGGATCCTGCGCAGCCCGATAAACCCGGGTTTGAAATGACCTGGGTCAGGGGACCCCCGAGAAACATACAGTGGAGACCCATGCCACGAAACACCTTGCTTGCCTCCAGGGTGCCCTGGGTTTCTTGGGTCTCGACGGTTTCGCTACGGCAAGCGTGACGTTCCCACACCAAACATCAATTGACGTCCTGGGGTCTCAGGGTCGGGCTTCTTGTGGGAGGTTTCTTGTGGTCGAGCCCCTACTGCACTATCGTCGGAGACTTGGGGGTGCGGCTGGGCATCGTGCCAGGCCAGGGGACGAGCGGCCTGGGCGGGGCCGGCGCGGCGGAGCGGGGGTGCCGGGGAGCCCCCCGCGGCGATGGCGCGGCCCGCACGCCCCCAGGGACGAGGACAGGAAGTGGCGGACGGTCCAGTCGGTGATTCTGAGGCGGGGAGGGGCTCGTTTCCCTGTTCGTCGTCTCTCTCTCGTCTCTCTGTCTTTCCCAGTTTGAAGCGCACACGGGCACACACACAGACACACACACACACACACACACGCACGCACGCACGCACGCACGCACGCACGCCCCCCCCACACACCCGCACACCCACACACACACGCGCGCTCGCACACACACACACTCGCGCTCGCACACGCACACACACACACACACACATTCGCACATGCACACGCATTCGCACACGCACACGCACACGCACACGCACACGCACACGCACGCGCACGCACACGCACGCGCACACACACACAGGCACACACACACACACTCTTTTTGTTTCAAGGCGGCGGCGCAGAGGATCCTCAGGCGCAAACGGCAGATGGAAGTGCCAATTGCGATCGAGCATCGTCGAAGGCAAACACACAAACACACACACACACACACACACGCACCCACGCAAGCACGCATGCACGAACGAACGCACGCACGCACACACAAGCACAACTACACATACACACAATCACTCACTCATTCACACACGCGCACATACACACATATATATATATATATACACACAAGACTACATTCGTGCTCCACGCTGTGCACTTTGTGTAGCATGCAGGTGGAAGGGCAGGAAGGTAGCTCCTTGTTGCCTTTTCCGACATCTTCGTTCTCATTATGTTATACATATTTTAAGTGGCTGACTTCATTCCGCCTGCCCCCAGAAGAGGGAAGAATTCCACGAGTGAGGCCTTTCGGGGTCTGTTGGGGAACCTCTGTGGACCTCTTTTGGACCTCGTAGGGGTCTCTTCGGGCCTGTTGGGTGTTTCTTGGACGCCTGCAGGCGGTCTCGGGGGTGCTCTGGGGGTGGAGGGCTCGGCATGTCAGTTCGAGATACCTCTCCTGGATCTCATTGAGGACCTGTTGGGGCCCTCCGGTGCATTTTGGGCGCTTCTTGAGTCGTCTTGGGACCCTCTTCGGCCGTCTTGGGGCCCTCTTGGGAGCTCCGTGGGCCCCCTCGGAGCAATATTAGTGGCCTCCTGAGCCGTTTTGGACGCTGTTCAGACCCAAACTGCAAATGTTCTAGAAAGATGTACGTTGTTCCTTACGATTCTGGCGATGTTTGCTTCATGAGGTCATATTGGAGTCGTTTTGGAGGCCTCGTCTGTCGTCTTCAAGCCATCTTGGCGTGGTGGGGCTACCCGGGCCGTTTCGACGCCCTCTTGGATTGTCTTGGCGCTCTGTCTGGGCTCTCTGCGGTCTTAATGGGGCTTTCGGGAGGCTCAGGAGGCCCTCGGGGCGCGTTGGCGCGTTCGCACCCCCCTTTCAACGAGATGTTGGACCCCAGGGGAGGGGGAAAGGGGGAGGGGGACTGCCCAATGTTTCACACGCCTTTTCACCCCCGGTAAGCGAGGGTCGGCGGATCCTTCGTTCATGTTTCCTCTTCCTCGTCCTCATCCTCGCCCTACCCTGCGAATTCTTCCCCATTCTCCTCAGCTCTTTTTGCGGAGGCTCCTCCTTGGAGAGCCTCTTGTGTGCCTCACGAAACGTTTTAAGGGCTTGTTGGGGCCTTCTGGAGGCCTCCTGGGCACCTTCTGGGGGCGTCTGTGGGCTTCCTCGGGCGACCCGGTCTCGAGTTGGAATGCTTCGGGGGGGGGAGGGGCATCTTGGGCCGTCATGTGGTTTTCGTCGGGCCATCTTGTGGCCCTGTTGGGCCGTGTTGGGGCTCTCGTAGACTGCCTGAAAGCCCTTTGGGGTAGTTTTGGGAAGATTATCGGGCCTCCTGGGCGGTCCCGGACACCAGGAAGACCGAAGAATTGAGCATTTCCAGAATCATACGAAATACATGGGACACCACTGTTTTTCTCCGTTTCGAAAGCCTCTTTGGGGTCTTCTTAGGGTTGTTTTCGGGCGTCTGGTGGGTGTCTGGGGCCTCCTGGGGCTCTCGCCAAGCCGTTCGGTCACCCACCCTGACCGATTTTGGCTTGCTGGATGGACCCAGCAGGGGCGTCCAGGAGCCCTGGAAAGTCTGGGGGACCTCCTGCAAGGGCGTCCAGAGGATTCCTAGGGCCACAGCTCCAGGAGGGTCCGTTTTGTTGAGGGCGGGGGGGGCAGGTTTCCCCCCTTTCCATTCCCGGGTAATACAGAGCAAGTATCTATATACACATGTGTATATATATGTATATATATATACACATATATGTATACATGATACATATATGTATATATGTATAACTAGATGTAGGTATATACGCATGTATCTATATCGGAGGTGAGGGGGTGAGATCGAAGTGGAACGGAGAGCCCCCCTACCGGGAAATCGGTTTCGGTTTCGTGTTCGTGCGTGCCGCGCGTGCGGGTGAGGCGAAGCTGCGTGGGCGGGCGAGAAGAAAGTCTCCTCCGGCTGAGGCGCGGCCGGACCAAATGATTCCTTTCCGGGGGCCGGTGGCCCGCGGTGTCCCGCCGGTGTCCCGCCTCCGGCTGAGGCGCGGTCAGACCAAATGATTCTTTTCCGGGGACCAGTGGTCCGCGGTGTCCCGCCGGTGTCCCGTCAGTGTCCCGTCGGTGTCCCGATGATGATGATGATGATGATGATGATGATGATGATGATGATGATGATGATGATGATGTCGATGATGTCGATGATGTCGATGATGTTGATGATGATCATGATGATGGTGGTGATGGTGGTGATCATGATGGTGTCACGATGATGATGATGTTGACGATGTTGATGATGCTGATGATGATGGTGATGGTGGTGATGATGGTATCCCGATGATGATGAGTATGTTGATGATGATGTTGCTGATGATAATGATGGTGTCCCGATGATGATGATGGTGATGACGATGTTGATGATTATGATGATGTTGATGATGATGAGATGATAATGATGACGATGGTGTCCCGATGATGATGATGATGATAAGGTTGATGATGATGATGATGATGATGGTGATGATGATGGTGTCCCGATGATGATGTTGATGATGATGATGACGATGATGATGTCCCGATGATGATGATGATGATGTTGATGAGGATGCTGATGAGGTGATGATGATGATGGTGGCCCGATGATGTTGATGATGATGCTGTTGATGTTGATGATGATGATGATGGTGTCCCGATGATGATGATGATGATGATGATGATGAAGATGAAGATGATTGTGATGATGATGCTGGTGACGATGATGATGGTGTCCCGATGGTGATGATGATGCTGGTGATGATGATGATGTTGCTGAGGATGATGATGATTGTGCCCCGATGAGGTTGATGCTGTCGTTCATGATGCTGGTGATGAAGTGATGATGATGATGATGGTGGTGTTCCGATGATGATGATGGTGTCCCGATGATGATGATGATGATGATGACGATGATGATGATGATGATGATGATGGCAACGATGATGGTGTCCCGATGATGTTGGTGGTGATGATGATGTTGATGAGGTGATGATGATGATGATGCTGATGATGATGATGGTGTCCCGGTGATGATGATGATGATGATGTTGATGACGTTGATGACGATGATGTTGATGGTGTTGATGACGTTGATTGTGAGATCGATTGTGACATCGATAGTGGGATCGATAGTGAGACCGAATGGTAGATCGATTGTGAGATCGATTGTGAGATCGATATTGAGATCGATTGTGACATCGATAGTCAGATCGATTGTGAGATCGATCGAATGAAATAGATCGAGTGATATCGATTGTGAGATCGATCGAGTGAGATCGATTGAGCGAGACCGATCGTGAGATCGATCGTGAGATCGATAGTGAGACCGATCGAGTGAGACGTTGGTTCCTCCCCCCCGAACCTCCTTATCACCCGAAGGGTGGTCGTATAGGCATGTGTATATGTATTGATTGTTCTGTAGTTTTTCCCACCCATACTGTGGTGGTGAATCCTCGTTTTGATGAGACAGCGCCCCGCGTTCCTTCATTTCTTCTTTCCTCTCCTCCTCCTCCTCCTCTTCCTCCTCCTCCTCCTCCGCCTCTGTGCATCTGCCCTCCGCATGTCCACCATTTCGGCACACCCCTCACACGTTTCGTGGCCCCGCGGGGACCTCCACCGAAGGCTCCAGTGGGAGGGTTCGCACGGCACCACCGCGCCCAATTCGGCACACCCCCTCACACGTTTCGTGGCCCCATCGGGAGTTCCACCGAAGGCTCCAGTGCGAGGGTTCGCATGGCACCACCGCGCCCAATTCTGCACACCCCTTACGCTGTTCATGGCCCCATAGGCAGCTCCACCGAAGGCTCCAATGGGAGGGTTCGCATGGCACCACCGCACCCAATCCGGCACCCCTCACACGGTTCGTGGCCCCAGAAGGAGCTCAAACGAAAAGACTATCCACAATGCGATATTCGCAGCTGCATATGGTTGGGTCTTTCGTCAGGCCAAGTATAATTTGGGCCCCTGCGATCCCCCCCTAAACGGGACCCCTCCAGATCCATGGCCCCGCGGGCACCTTGGACGCCCTTGCAGTTGGTCCCCTTGTGCTTTCCGGGTCTCCTGAAGCCCGCGCTGGGCCTAGGCAACCGGCCGAAATTGGTCAGGAGGACGACCTGACGGCCCCGCGAGAGCCCACTGAGGCCCCAATCACCCACCAGATGCCCGAAGACGACCCAAAGAAGACCCCCAAGATGCATTTGAAATGCAAAAAACATTGATTCCTTTTTTATGGCTTTTGCCGGATTTTGAGAATGCTCAGTTCTTCGGTCTTCCTGGCGTCCGAGACTGAGTCCAAGAGAAGCCCCATGACGGCCCAACAGGGCCCCAAGACGCCTCCCGAATCATTCCAAATCGTGACCCGGTCGTTCAGGGAGACCGCGGTTGGAAGCAGGGTTGCCCAGGGAAGCCGCCGGTGGCCCCCAGAAGAAAGCCAAGATGTTTCGTGAGACTTACAAGAGACTTTCCTAGGATGAGCCTCCACAGAAAGAGCTGAGGATGGTGGCGAATTCGCAAG